TTGGAGTAAAAAAAGGCAACCCCTTTAAGACTTCACTAAAATAAGGCAATATCCCCAGCCCGGCCACTCTCCCTCCCTTGGACAACATGCGGTCGTGGAATAGGGGTTTACGCACCATGCATTCGATGCAGTGCAAGCAGCGTCACCAAGAGATCCTCCTTAGGTGATAATCGAACGTTGCTAGTGAAAATGTGATCGTAAAAAGTCCGAAAAGGAAACTGGGCATGACGTGTGAAACCGGACACAAGACTGCCAGACTAAATAAACTAGAGGTAGAACACGTAATGAAGTTGAAGTAGAGGGGAATGAACCGCCGCAATACGGAAATTATCAACACCGGACCGAACATGTAAATTTGTGCCGCTGATCTGACGCCGTAGTAGTCGGTAGAAATCATCTTCCCTCAATGGCAGGCTCGTCCAAGGATGTGATAACGTTAAAGAAAAGGGTTGTAACCGTGAATGAAAATATTTTCGTAGTATAATAAGAAACGGTTTGTTCTTATCGTAGGCAGAATCCAGCTAGTCAAGAAAACTTCGTCTATCTTCTTAACTCCCTCTTTTCCGGAGTTGACACTCAATAGAAGAAATCGGGTAAGTGATTAAAATCCGTGAGCCGCACCAGTCGTAGTTGCTTGGGGGATTGACATCACTTGAGGGGCTGTCGCTTCCTTGGGGGGCGCTGTCATTTGGGAACCGGCCGAGGGCTGAGCTCTCTGTCGGTGGAAACGCCTCGCCTGGCGATCGCGGCATTGCATAGCATAGGCACGGTCCGAGGCCCGTTTATTCTCCAAGTATTCTTCATAACTTAGCTGCTGCTGAGTGAAGACTGGATCACCGGGGCGTTGGGGTCCTCTAGGCTTTCTCACGGGTCTAGGACCATATACGATCTGGGCCTGAGCGTGAAGGGGTAGAGGGCTAGGATTTCCGGGACCCGTAAAGCCTTGATATCCTATAGCTGGTGGTGCACTGAGGCCTGGGCTGCACGACATTGGAGGCGGTCCCATATGGAATGAAGGCGCTTGTGTATTATGCACAGGCGAGGGGGGTATGAATGCACCATTGCCGTTATGATAGGACTGAACATTTGGTATTGTCTGAATTCCTGGCCATGAACCAGGCCCGGATCCAAAGCTGTGAATGCTTAGAGTATCTCGAGATGGTCCTTGAAGGATAGGACTCAAGCCAAGCTGGCTGGCTATGCTCTGAATATGACTTAGTTGAGCCATAGGGCTTGTCTCCATCATTGTCGGGCGCTGCTGAGACCCTGCCTCAATCCGTGTCAATTGTGCTTTCAAATCGTCCATGAATGCATAAATCTTTTCTATGTCCTCTGCAGTCGCAGAGCGAGTTCCACTTGAGCCGCTATCTGTTGAGGATGTGACTTTATAGCCATTCTGTTGGAAAGGTACATTGTGGTTATGGTCTAGCGGATAGTTGCGAAGATCTGGCTGGCAATTGATACCGGAGCGAGGCGAAATTTGGAACTCGGAAGCTTTTGGGTTCAATGTAGTACCCTGGCTTTGCGATGTCTTCGCACTAACACCGCTGATCCCAGAGTTGTGCGAGACTGGTTTGTTCAGAGGTATATTCTCTTCTAGCCTCTTGGGCGAGTTTGAGGGCTTAGCATCATTAACCGACTGCGCGTTGATACGATTGGCAGATGACTTTTGGAGTTTGCTGATAAGAGCATCGAAACGTGCTTGGTTCTTTGCAATCTCAGCCTCGGAGGAGCAGGTAGACTCGTATTCTTCTCTAAGCTTCTCGACTGGAAGGCCAGCCGTACGCGGGCCTTGAAGCATAGCCCAATTTTTCTCCAAATCCTGATCGATGTTGTCCCATCCAGCATGGGCGAATCTCTTGGAATGTTTGATTGCCTTCACTGCGGCTATTGGGAAGATGGGATCTTCTATCTTCTTGTTGTACGCGGAAACAATAGGGATTGCTCTCACTGTCATGTCATTTTGACCCTGCTTGTCGCCATAGGTATCATTACTGCTTCTGAATTTTGACTCTTCATCTAGGCCATAGTTACATATGATGTCAAATTGCCGGAAACCTTCGCTGGTGATAGGCGTTAGGGACTCAAGTCGAATCGTAGACATGTTAGTAATAGGTGAAACAACAGAGAGAGTTGTATCGTTGCTAGAATATTGGACATCCTCGGAGCTACCAGGTCTAGAATCGTTATCTGCCGTCTCATAATCTTTCTTGGTTATGGGAGCAGAATGGATGAAATCTGGGTCAATAGGAGTATCTCGGTACCGGCGAACAGTCATCTCATTAGCAAGAGCCGTATCAATAGTGAGCTTCTTAGCTTTCTTGCCACCAGCCTTTTGGAACTCGGTCGTCTCCACAGATGCGGTAGCTGGGACCGCGAGATGAGCACTGCTTCCCTTACGGCGATTGTTTCGCCAATCAGAGTTCATCATAGCTTCGCTCGCTTTCGGCGCGGACGGCACTTCGTTCGTTGTGTCAAACTGGACTTTCCGGGGTGGAGCGGAGGCTACCTGAGTGAAGCCCATTCCGGTCGGGATTGTCGACGTAGGATCCTCAATGGGAAGATCAGTTTTGACGCTGAGCTTAAGGGCGCTGGCTCGATCCTTGGCCTTGCTCTTGGCCTTGAGAATCTGTGCAGCACGCATGTTTACTAAACTGAAAGAAGATAAAATTTCATGATTAGAAAGTTATGGTACATTACTTCACCTAATGTGAGATTGGGTAGGTGCTAGCAGACTTACATCAAATTGCGTCGTGTTATAATCAAGGAAATGGTGGTGGAAATATGTACAGCCGTACGGTGTCTGCTTTTGTTACTAAGATATTAGTATGCTTGACTTTCGAGTTATGAAGTTGATGGGAACGCGCTTAAGGTTGATTGAGAGAAGTGAACTTTGGATGCTAGTTGTAAAAAAGAAAAGGGCATATTGTTAGGTAGAAGCAATGGGCAGGCTCTTATTCAGTTGAAAGTGTATAGTTGGAATATTGTCAGATGTTTGGGATGATCAAGGGGAAGGACTAGAATAGGGTAAAGTGTAGGTAACTAGTTGAGGAAGAAAAGGGAGGTTGGAAGGTTGTCAGATCTAGAAAATGAATGCGAAGAATCGGGTGCAAATATGTAGAACTTGTAGGCGGCAACGTACCAGTAGAGAAGTTCGTAACCAGTAAAAGTACTCTTCGTTGTTAAGATGGCAACTTGAAAGTTGGTATCAAAGCCTAGTTTTTTGAATGGTTTGTTCACTTGATTGATGAATACTCGAGGCAGGGGAGGATAGAGGTCGCAATTTATAGAAGTCGAAAGGCTCAGAGACGGCACCGCTCGGTAGCAATCGAAGTTTGCTAGTTTTCCAGATGCGAGGCAAAATCTGAAACCTCGTGAGTCAAGGACGAGAGGTGGGAAATATAACGAAGCAGGCTGAAGAAAAATCTCGAGCACTGTCGACTATAGATAGGCCGCTCGCTCGAAAACCAGCTACCATGTGATTAATGATCTGGGCTAATCAACCAACAAAGTCCAAAAAGAGGAAAACAAGTCCAAAAAAAAACAGTCGTTGCTTGTCACCAAAGAACGCTGTACGCCAGACCTTGACGGCTGTAAACAGATTGGAAGACGACAAATGTCATGAACTTGAGTTGTAGTCTATGAATCCACCCAATAAGGAGCTGCAAAAGTGGAACCTCACTGCAATGACTCTGGCAGGAAAGGTCACCACCTTAAGGTTCTCCGGTACCTTCCTTCTCATGACACATGCAGTTCCTTCCTAGGTACCTAGGTTAGGTACATTGTACGATAAGCAGTTGCTAAGGTAGTTGCCATGGTCCAAGCTGCAAAGTCGGATACATGTATCTACAACCACCATCAGGGTATGGCACCTTCTTATTTGTCTTTGGGTAGGTACGTAGCCGGGGGTAATCAACTCAACAGGTCGCGTGCAGTACGGACATAGATAGCATCTAATACTTGCTAAGCGAGTTTTCTAATTGTCTCTCTCGCCTATATATGTGGACGTAATACCGCTCTTCTACCCTGTTAAACTACACATAGCTAGAACTTCTAATCCGAGTGGAAGGATAAATATTGTGCAATGATCTATGTTATATATTTTAACTATGCGTCATCTAAATGGATACAAGCCCGGAATCGCAACATCTCAAGCCATAATGAGTCTTATATATGTAAGTCGTGCTAGTTCGCTTGAACTCTTTAAAGTAATACCCCGAAAATAACTTCTTTGTTGGCCAGCGGTCAGGTCAATAATCACCCTATATATTAATAGATGAACTACAAGATATCCGCTAGTTACAACGTTAACTCCACGATCTGCTTTTAAGTTATCCGTCATTATTTTGCCGACTTTCTATCCAGACTGATGTCGTGGCTTAGGATTTGGTTTTTAAGTAGGTGCAACACTTACGTACCTGGGTACCTAACTTAACCATTGCAATGTTTAATATACGTTGACTTCGATTTGTTTTTATTTTTAATGCTTATAAGAAGATCAGCTTTTCAGTATTAATAAATGACAAAGCTTCATATTTTCCTACTAATATTTAATTTGGATATGTTATGCTATTTTATATTAATGATGGTTTTTTCTTTCAGCCTCATAGTTTGTCGATATACCTATTCTAACCCGACCTTAACACCGAACTAGGCCTCTGCTATTAGTGGTGGCTATGTTATTGACCGCCAGATATGGATCCAACGTAATTCCACAGCCTCTGCCTAATGGCTTAAAATCAAACTCCCTGTCAGCTCTCATACTTTAAGAGATGAAAGAATAAACCGAAATTTATATCGCTGCCCTTTGAAGAGTCCTATAAGATTATATATACATATCTATTGGATTTGCCAAGTCGAAGCTTCGGTATAAATCATGCGTCTTCTCAGTTCCTCGAGCGAGGAAATAAAATTATTCCCTTCACGTGCCAGTATCCCTCCTTATGCCATACTCTCACATACCTGGAAGGAGGAGGAAGTGTCATTTCAGGATTGACAAGGAGAACGTGGGAAAGTTGAAAAGATGAAGGGCTTCTAAAAAATAGAATATTGCTGTCAACAAGCAGTCGAAGATGGTCTTGATTGGGTCTGGGTCGACACGCGAGTCTAGTCTAAAAGACCGTTGAGAATATTACGTTTAGGAGTAGATATTGACTGAGTTACAGATGCTGCATAGATAAGACTAGCAGTGCCGAGCTCTCGGAATCTATCGACTCGATGTTCAGATGGTATAAGGAAGCATCTGTCTGCTACACCTATCTAGCCGACGTGAAGCATAGCTCTCTATCGACGATCGAGAGTCAGATAGCTGAGAGTCGCTGGTACGAGGGCGGATGGACGTTGCAGGAGCTAATAGCACCCGAAAATGTCATCTTCTACTCTGAGAATTGGTTCCAAATTGGGACAAAGTTACAACTCTCGGCTCTCATATCTAATATTACTGGTATCGAGGAGACGTACCTGGACAACTCGAACACCCAAAACGCTAGTATAGCACAGCGTATGTCCTGGGCGGCAAACAGGAAAAGTAATAGCATAGAATAGGTAGAGATTATGCATGACTAAGTTGTTCCTGAGTGTCTAGGTACCTGCCACTCAGTACTGTATACATCCTTACGAAAGTCTAGGGATGTATTTTCAACATTCTCAAGGTAAGTTATGGAATGGCGAGCGAATTACACTACTATTGTTGCACGAGGCATACAGCGTAAGTACCTAGGTACCTAATCAAAATAGGCACCTCACCCATGCGATCACGAAGCAACAAAACGGTATTAATTGTATATACGTAAATGCTTTTTGCCATTTTCCTGCCTAGCCCCTAAACTACCTCCTAAAGCTAATAAGGGTACCTTACAATACGCTAAGGCACGGTTAAAAAAAGCAGAGCCCATATGGAAACATGCTCTTGATAGAGTAATAGAGACCATTCTGATGGAACGACGGACATCTTAACCCTGCATCTTCCTTCTCTTACCGACCTGGGCCGAGAAACCGGTCTTGATAGCGGTGACGGACCGACGGGATCCACACGAGTTGCACGTGATGAAATATAGGCGGTTCTCTCCCTTGTTGAGTTCTGTGTCGGGAGATCGACACGTCTTGCAGGTAACATACTCGACTATAACCTAGTTAGAATGCCGCAGACAAAAACACATACGACGAAAGGGCAAGAAGAGGAGGCTTACTGATGTATTTTCGCAGGACGTTCTCAATTTGCTTCTGTTGGAATCGACCCTTGATGACTAATCGTCTGCTACCGTCGACGGAACCGTTTGTACCCAGCTCGGCGAAGAGGTAGGCGGTGACGTGCTCCTCGCTTCGCTTCATTCTCTTGGTAATTTCCTGGATGTTGGCGAAAATAGTCTTCTTGTTACCTTCACGTAAGCACTGAGGAGGCGGGATCTTGTAGCTTCGCGTGCCGCTGGAAGCGTGATCCGGGTTCTTCTGAGCCAACAGGCTGAAGAAGCGGCTGAGTAGCAAATCGTAGCTGATCGCCTTAGTCTCATCGTGACTCCAGATGCCGGTGCCTTTCTCCATATCTCCGCTTTGCTCATCGCCTTTTGTGTCGGCAGCACCCTCCGCGCCGCCCTCCTTGTCGAGGTCGAGTGCCGCGAGCTTGGCAGCGAATTCGTCGCCTTCGTCGGCTTTGGGTGCCTTCTTCTTCTTCTTCTTCTTAAGGGTTAAGTCTAAGCCGCCGGCATCGGCAGCTCCGTCGGCGGCACCGCTTGCCTCTTCTCCCTCGGCATCCTCGGTCTTCTTAGGCTTCTTCTTTTTCTTCTTGAGAAGATCAAGGCCACCTTCTTCGGTAAGAGGGGCGGCGTCTTCGACGGCAGCTTCTCGCGCATCAGTAAAAGCCTCAAGAGCGGCTGAGAGCGGCGGCGTACGAGGTGTATGGGATAGGGCAGTGTCCTTTGTATCTTCGGAAGCCATGGTGACTATCTTGCCGTCGGGCTCAACTACGAGAGCTTCGGAATTAAAAACGACGGATTTTCGCTGCTTACGGTCGGGGATTGAGGGACGTTGTTCCTGCTAGTTACAGTTATGTTAATAAAGAATGTATTAACCGGTCCTAACGAGGTAAAGAAATGAAATAGATAAGAATCCGCCGGTCAGAGGAGGTTTAAGGTTGGTTGGTGTTGAAATGAAATTCGATATTGAACGTTGGATGTGGGAAGGTATGACTCTGAACGGTGGCTTGTGTCTCGGAATTTTCAATGTGGCTCCAATGTATGTATAAAGTACCTGTGGGGTCCACAATTGTATCCAGGTATGGATTTGGAGGGGCAAAAGTATTGGCCTTATCGGATCCCCTCGTTGCTGTCAGTGGGGAAGGGGGGGAGGGGTACCTAAACCAAGTACATGCAGGAAGTACCAAAGGATAGAGAATAGAGGGGAGACCCAGGAAGGGTGGTGACAAGTGCGGCTGCAAACACCGGTCCCGATCGATAAGTGAAGTCAAAAATGATCAGGCAAATTGTATCCAGCACCTGCGATCTAAATGGAGAGAGGATGTAAGAATAATGAGATAACTCAAGTTAAACTTACAGTATCTGCTGCATCTGCTGCATCCATCCTCGCTATCTTTCTATATTTGACCTTGCTTTGTTTAGCCTTTTGTTAATAAAATTCAGGTTGTGTCACAGTAGTTGACGACGCCCAATGAACAATACTGATGTTGTAAGACGATATCTGTGGCGATCAAGATATTGATAGTGGGTTGACACTAGAATTGGTGGTAGGTAGGAAGCTTCCTCTTAATTTTAGCTCAACTCGAAAGACTTTTTGGAAATGACAGAAGTTGAGGTTGTTGAAGTTGGAAAGATCGAAAAAGAAAAATTAGAAGCGCAGGGAGATCCTATGACGTTTGAGCCCCTACGATGGAGAGAAATACATATCAATTTGTTGCCTTCAACTTTCCCTACCGGTACTTCTGAATCTCATCCAACCCCAAATAGGGGAGTCCCCAAGGCTGATAGGCAGAAGACTTAGGCAGGCTATGACTCAGCAGTTTATAATTGTCTTACCACCCCACGTTACAGCATCTCATCATCCCCCCCACTGAAAAGCAAGCTCGCCAATAACAAGTTGACCTTGGTCGGCAAGTGTTCCACGTATTTGATTGGCCTTAAAGAAGATACGTAGTTTGGAGCTAACACCAGATAGAAGCTTAGTAGCTTACCTCCAACTTATCAACTACCACAAACAGAAGCGGCGTCACTTAATACAGCAACTTACACCTTATTCCACCGCATTCGCTATTCAACTTCGATTGTGTATTGGGGCACGATAAGCCAGCCGCCCCCCCAGCTGGTGGAACCCAATGCATCAGATCTGTTAGCAATAGCGCCTAGTCCCGCCGCTTTCTCGCGAGCCTTAACGACGCATAGATAACTTTCGATCTTTTACTTCACCTTCGAATCATGTCGCTTTCTGGTTCCTTCGCCATGGCCGACACACCGGGATCCGATAATGACGATATCGATTCCCTCCCTTCCACCTCTACCGAAAGCTTCACAACCGATGATGACGATTTTGATGCGCAAAAGGAATGGGAGCAGAGCTTAGAACAATTACAACTACTCTTAACTATGGTATTGGTACCGTTTGCTGGAAAATATCTTGGCCGCAAGTTTGCCTACTGGAGTATGATTCCAAATCACTACTAGTAAATAGTCCTGGACTGACACTTGTCTCAATAGGTTGGGCACGATATATGGAATGGATGCATAATGTTGAAATCAAATGGACGAATAAAACGGCATTTAAAGTTTCAGGTGCAGTTGAAGCAGCGGCGACGATCTGAACAATCAGATTTCTGGTCTACCTAGGTTTTCGGAGGGACACTTTTTGCGGATATTGACCGGATGTCACCCTATTTGTGTATATAAGGGCATTGATGTGGATACAGGAGATCGTCGGCATGTGACACCGCGATGCCAAAAAGCAATCAAGAATACCATCTCGGAAGCCCGTCCCTAACCCCGGATACGTTCCGTGCTACCGTTAGGCCTTGATGATTCTCATCCGAGATAGCAAAATAAGAGCCTAACAGCAGCTCCGAGAATCTTTCAGTGTCTTTGGTTCTAAGATGCCCCTTTCCGGGGCTCTAGCGTGCCACGATAATAGGAAATAAAATCTCATCGTCCAATTGTCGAACTCGTCAGATCGGCCTGCCCTGTTAAGAGGAGCCATAGGTAATCGAAATTCACTGGCTAACCAATAGTAACAAAGTAAGCCTTCCTGTTTTAATTCTAGCCCACACTTCACAATCCATAGTGTTTCTCTAGATGGTTGAACCCCCGCTACCCTCGCAATAAATACCTTTGATTTTTGCGGCTATACCTTCTAAGTGTTACAGATCCGGCATGTGTGTTGTTCCCAACATACTTAGACATGCCCAATATGAATTTTTGTTATTAATAGAATTGATATTTGATCCCCTTTATCAACCTTCAGCCGCAAAAGACACTATGCAGGATGCCCAGATACCCATGAGCTACGATCAGAATTCGATTCAATGGGTTACAATGTCTATGGATCTGCGACCCAGCTAATTCCCCTTATTGGTACATGAGCAAACACCGGCATGTATGCATGGGGTAATTGGCATATCCTCGTGGGTGACGTTTGACTGTTGGCGCCATAGCGGATCTTTGAGAATGCCAAATTGCGGTTAGACACCACGTAAGAAGTCGTGTATTAACAGTAAAGTCCCACGTGTATAGCCCTGCGAAAATCACCAGGAAGGGAGAGCAGGATATAATAAACATGAGCCCTGTTTTGTTCCTTGTCGGCAAACTTGAGGTTTGTACCAAAACAATATCCACGAAGTATGACGACTATCTTATTCACGTATTTTCAAACTGCTCAGCTGGCTAGAGACACTACATATTAAACCGGCACGACTGGTGAATATGTGTACGAATTCTTTGAAGTCATTCCGAAAACTAAACACTCAAGCAACATTCTCACAATAGTATTACGATATTACGCAGAAGACAAACCGAAATTTCCCATCATCTACACCGAAATTTTTCAGCATGGCTCAAATTAGCTTCCCTAACCACGACCTATATAAGGTCCTCGGCGTTGAGAGTAACGCTAGTTTAGAGGATATCAAGAGGGCCTACCGAGAACTCGCAAGAAAGGTCCATCCAGATAAGGCGGAAGGTGGAAACACGCCGGAGAACAACGCGCGATTCCAGCAGGTTTCAGAGGCGTGGGAGATTCTCCGTGACGATGTTCTAAGACGTGAGTACGATATTCATCGTGAAAGCGCCGAAGATCTTGGTCATGACAGCGATACAGGTTCTAAGCGTCGTAGCCGGAAAGAGCGCAGCGGTAAGTACGAACAGAGCAGATATTCTAAAGACGGTTCTTCTAATAGACATCCAGGTAGCTACGAAGCGAAGCCCAATCATCGCGGGAAGCCATATTTCGAGGAATGGGGGCATGATAAGCCTAACGGTCCGGATGAAACCCATGGTTCTAGAGCGCATGGGGCTAGACGACGATCTAATACATATGCATACTCTTCAACCTCATACGGCACGCCGTCGCCCTTCGAGCGGCCTGGTACGACGCCGGACCCACAACCAGTTCCCGGTGCATATCAACATAAGACCCACGACCCAAGAGGCCCGCCACCTCCCTCGGTCAATCTTGCAGACCGCTTAACCGCTATGCGTATAAGAGTTGATATGAGGTCTCTCCATAGTGATCTCGATGCCACAGCCAAGGAAATCCAGTACCTCGCAACGGGCTTCCATTCGACGCCGTTCAACACCTCGGACAAAGAGCAACGCCGTTGGGGCAAGCTCTTCAAGGATGCCAGTAGCGCTCTTAACGTCGTCGACGACATGTACGATGACCTGGACGTTTGGGTGGATCATATCGAAACCGGAAAAGGAACGTCACGATCGGCAGCTTGCCACTTACCTGCACAATTCGCCTATATCTCCGCCATCGCCACCATAATGAAATACGCCGCTACGGCATGCGTCACCTTCCAGGGGCTAATATTGAGCTGTCCTTACGAGCCGCCTCAGCAGTACTTCGACGATCTGGAAGAACGAATGAGGATTATGATAACTGCCTGTGGATCATCGCAGCAGAAACAAAAATAGACAACATCAATAGGCGCTATGGACGTTTGGCTGGACGCTTGTAGAAGAATAAAAAAAGGAGAATGTTTGATTAGGTGTCTATTGGGATAATTTGGGATCTTGTTTTTATATGGTCCGGAGAAGACTGGTCGTCATATAGTATATGTACATAGAACTGTGCCTGATGCTCCAATTTGGAGTGAACATATGTATCTTCTTTGTTCAATGAAACAACTTCTTCTATTATGTAAAATATAGGGGGTCTATTATTGGAAACACGTGAAATATATGTGGCCCGCATCGATTTGGGGGCATAGTTTTGACTTTGCGCAATCTATTTCCTAGCGAGGCGAGAGTGAGCTGTATACCGGCGGCTAGTTCATGCATGAGAATGATTGAAGAAAGTGAAAATGTTTATCCAATTTAATTACCCACAAGTACAGAGCCCGTACCTGATCTAAGGCTATAATAACTACATGTATTCAAAGATCGCCATCTAAAACATGTATTCGCTTGATACTGGCCTTGTTTCATCTGGCCAAGTAGTTGAGCTTAAACTTGGCCTACCGGCAGTGGCCGACCAAGATGACGGCATGAACCCACCCCGATGCAGTAGCCTGGGAACTAAAGTCGTACACTAATGCCAAGCTGGGACGTTTTACATCGGGAGGTTGGTCTAATCCGGCATTGCGTTCATTTTCCGAGTAAATAAACTGTTTGATACTGCAACGTCTTTTGCTATGTTATAAGGCAGGTATTTACGAACTCCAAATTGATACGTAGAAATTATGGTCCTCGCTCAAGCAATAGAGCCATCACAAACTAGCCAATTTCGGATACGAATCCCAGATGAATCACGGACCTGCCGGGTGGTGTGACAAGCATTGAAGATTGAAAAATGACAAGAACAACAATGCTACAGACACACCATTACCTCGTACATGTCGCATTACCATTCTTTTCTTCGGGCGTCTATTTAAGAAAGTGGACCTGTAAAGCAGGGTGGATCCTTTCCGGAGAAAGGGCGACATTGGCAGCATTGGCAGTGACGTCGGCCAATCAAGCCAAGATCAACCCACTACCTATCTTGATGCTTTCTCGTTTTTCGAAGTACGTAAGACGGAGGCGTTCACGGGTACCTATGCACATGTAGACAGACGAAGGCGCTTATTGTTGTAGGTTTTCTCTATGCTATTATATCAAAACTAAATAATTCGAATCCCTCTTCCTGTAAGCTGGATATGGATTTTATAATATATTAAACGGTTTCCGGATTTCTGTTGTATAAAGGTACCTAGGTAGGTAATTTACACAATGCACGCCACAAAATGCATATGTAGGTAGCCCTCTCGTGATGTCTTGGTTCAAGTATACTGTACATATGCGTACGCGTACTTAGTGTGCTTTTTAGTTTCGTGTTCGGTAACTACCTTATGTACTTCGTAACTACCTATGCCACCACTGAACTGCAAGATCCAAGATGTTGCAGACACACCCTCCTTCCCTGTTATGTAGCCAAGGTGGCTCACGCCTGCTTTTGCTACACTCCCTCTTTCCTTGTTCTTGACTTCTGGGCGGCGTAAATATCTCCAAGCCAAGGAAACGAAGGTCTTCTTACCTCGTTCCACTCTCCTTTTCTCATTCCACGCCCGCGTTTTTTCACCCTTCACTCGTTGATTAACTTCCTAACTCCATCCCCTTTCTTTCTGGCAACTCATTCGTTACTGTTGGCATCTCGTCTTTCAAATCAATCGTTTTGATAGTTCGCGCCTCTGATCTTGGATCTGCTGCTGGTTCTCAAACGTCCCTCACTCGCTTGGGATTACAATATATCACGTGTTTCATCTTTTTTTGACGGAGTACCCTATTAAGACTAAACCAAAAGCAATTGACCACTTGGAATAATAACGATACCATAATGCGCTCGTTCGCCTTCGCGTCCGCTCTGGCAGCGGCGAGCATGGTCCACGCAGGGCCTACTCCTACCGAAGAGGAGTTACCTAGGCGTGCTGATTCTCTGCCTGCGGTAACCGCGTCTGGGAATGGTATGATACCAACATCCGCTTTGCAGGCAATGGCCGGAGATTAATGACGAATAACAGCTTTCTGGGCCGGTGACGAACGATTCTATATTCGAGGTATCGACTACCAGCCTGGTGGTTCTTCCGCTAACCTCGATCCTCTTTCTGATACCGACCTTTGCATGAGGGATATCGCCAAGTTCAAGGAACTCGGCGTGAACACAATCCGTGTTTACTCTGTCGACAATTCGGCCGACCACACTGAGTGTATGAAAGCTCTGAGCGACGCAAAGATATACTTAGTGCTCGACGTCAACAACCCTCAATACTCCATAAACCGAGACAATCCAGGGCAGTCGTATAACGATGTTTATCTCCAAAGTGTTTTTGCTACCATTGACGAGTTCGCAAAATATGACAACACGCTTGCTTTCTTCTCGGGCAATGAAGTCATCAACGACAAACCCGAGTCCGTAAAATCGGCCCCTTACGTCAAGGCTACTACTCGTGATATGAGACAGTATATCGGCTCTCACGGCTACCGCAAGATTCCTGTTGGTTACTCGGCTGCCGATGTCAGCGATAACCGAATGCAGACTGCGCAGTATTTCAATTGCGGTACCGATGACGAGCGGAGCGACTTTTTCGCCTTTGTAAGTCTCTTCTAATGCCAACCGGGACATCGGAAACTAACAATCCGTCTAAGAATGACTATTCTTGGTGTGCTCCGTCCTCCTTCCAGCAATCCGGTTGGGACCAGAAGGTGAAGAACTTCACCGGATACGGTCTGCCTATCTTCCTGTCGGAGTGGGGTTGCATAAAAGGCGACCGCGACTTCGGGGAGTTAGCTGCATTGATGAGCGATCAAATGTCTGCTGTCTACTCGGGTGGTCTCGTGTACGAGTATAGTAGAGAAGGCAATGGGTACGGCATTGTTGAGGTCTCTGGAACGTCCGACGAGGTCAAGGAAGAACCCGACTTCGATAAGCTAGCGTCAGCTTTGTCCAAGTATCCAGCTCCGACTGGCAACGGTGGTTTCACTTCTACCACCACTTCTGTTGCGTGTCCAACGGTCGATAATGTTTGGGATCTTGGTGGATGGGACGCGAGTGCACTTCCCGCAATTCCTCCAGCAGCTGAGAAGGTATACATATTTACATAATTTTTACTGTATCGAAAAAGAGGCTAACAATACCTCCAGTACATGACCGAGAAAGCCGGTACGGGACCAGGCCTCAAAGGTTCTGGCTCTCAGGATGCCGGAGGTACTTCGACTGGGACCGCTTCACCTGGTGCTGGATCTGTAACTGCAACTGCATCCGGTGACAACGGCAACGCCGCTGGCCGACCAGCTCCTCCAATGGATATGAGTATTTTCGTCCTTACTGGGATTGTTGGTCTCTTCACCCTCGGCGGCACGTTGTTGCTATAGGTTGGTCACTAAGCCGTCTTCGGTAATTTTCTTGGTACGAGAATCGTGGGATTTTTGGAGCTTGGGCATCTGGGGAATACGCGTTTTTCTATGGGTTCGGTGATCAGGCGCGTTGACCCCTTTTGAGATCGACGGCAAACCGGGATATAATTAGTCTAGAGCGGCACAGCAACTCCATATGACACGGGGTAAAGTATGTAGTATGTATCATGAACGCGAACGACATATAATTTAGGCATGGAAAGGGTGGATTGATGGATATCAAGTGTATTACTGAGCTGACCTTGCTAGAGGACTAAATGGCTAAAATTGAGGAAAGTGACATAGTTTTGTACTAACTACCTAGAGGTATTAAAATGAGAGGACTAGATTATGATTATTCCGCAGCGGGACTTCGCCGTATAATGTGCAGATCGTAGTTTGATTGCTCCGGTTTTAATTAACGGAATGCGTTTTCCTGAGATTTATTATAACACGTCTAAATATGCTGGACGTCTCTACTATACATCTGTCTTTATGAATACATTATGCTAGGTGCTGGACAAAGGGGATTGCATTACCACCGAATAACCTGAGGCATATCATGTATGCGCCTATATGTATTCCTTTCCTATATTACCTTCAAGTTGAATATTATCAATTAATTACTCTCGGGCCTCCGGCCGTATATGACCTTGACTAGTGAATATGGCGATTTTCGCCTGTCGCGCAGCTCCTTGCGTATGCGGCTTAGATAGAGTATGACTTGCTCGTGGGTCCAGCCCAAACCTTGCGTGAAGAGATAGAGTAGAAAACCTATAGAGTGGGTAATTCTTCGTCAGTGTCTATAATTGTACACATGTATAAGGATCCTGAGCATAGAAAATAGGGAACGCATACCCTCCATACCCTCCTCCATCGTAGCATGCGCATACAGCCCTACCTCTCTCAGATGCGGATCATTCGAATTCGGCGTAAGCGGGCATTTAATCGTATGCGTAACTATATCGATGAACCCCGCCTGCCGGAACGCGCGCTCCATCGTCCCGTCCTCGACAACATTCATCGACCTCGAGGGCCCCGAGTTCGCACTCCCCGGGACCCTGGTTCTGTTTTCGTACCTCCTAGCGCCCTCCTCGAAAAGCGGCCCCCAGGCTGCGAGTGCAGAGCCGTCGCCTTCACGGACACTGCCGTCCTCGCTGCGGATGCGGAGCGCGGGTTCTACGGCTTCGACCCAGCCTGTGCCGGGCCGCACCGCCCGGAAGGCTTCGGCGTATAGCGCGTCCCAGTCTAGGACTGCCCCGCAGAGATACCGCATGTGTACGAAGTCGAAGGAGGCGGGCTGGAAGGTCCAGGGGGTTAGATTGAAATCGTCCATTTCGAAACGCAAGTTGCCGGGGACCCAGGCCGGTTGGGTTGGTGATATGTCTGTGCCGATTACTTCGCAGTGCGGGAAGGCGTCTGCGAAGTCGCTGGGGGTTTGGGGTTGGGGGTTAGAATTTTGATGAGTTAATTTTAAAGGAGAGGGTTAAGGATATGAAGAGAAGAAAAAAAAAAAAAAGGGGGGGGGGGGGGGGGGATGTGGAGAGAAAGGTGAATTTACATTGCCCAGATTCCTGTACCAGGTCAACCGTCTGTTAGTATAGTAGCTGTGAGGTGAGATGCAAAGAGGCCTACCTGTTCCACATCCGATTTCTAGGACTTTCTTAGGGTCGTCGCCGATGGGGGCTAGAAATATCTTGTCGTGTAGTAGTAGTGTGAGCGTGTGGTGGCTGTTTATGGTTTAGATGTAAGTACTAGGTTTTTGTATCGTATGGCCCAGAAGGATTCTACTAACGTAAGGTCCATAGAATTCGCTTGTATTTCATCGTTAGGCGTCCTACGCTGGTTAATATAAAAGTGTAAAAGTGATCGTATTATTACACAATGGGGAACGGTCATACCAATAGTCGGTATTGCCCCAACTTCTGCTGTGATACCTTCGCCCGTGGATCGTGCGATACTCTAAAATGCTACTTGATAGCGATGCAGTAGAACTCGAGCTATTTTACACGACTTTGAGCAAAGGTACGCATTTAATGTTGCCGAGGGCTTTAGTTCTTTTACTTACTCATCCTCGCCCAGCGACGAATCTCTATCATCTTCATACGAGCCATCCTGGAACTCAGGAGTTAATAAGTTCATGGCCGACATAATTACAATGGGATTCCTGAAGTGTTAGATGGGTGTCGTGCCTGTGATGTTGTCCAATATGAGTCGGCGTCCGTAGCCGAAGGGCTGGACGATAACGGGCCGATTGTAGTCGGAACGGTTTCGGGTGAAGTGCTTTCGGCGGCCCGTGTATCAACTTCGGCTGCTGCCGACGAACGCGGTGTCATATCGGTTAGGTATTAACTGGTCGGTACGGACACTATATAAACCCTATGAAGTAGGTAATTATTCAATAAGAACCTTAGAACAGGAAATTTGGAAATATTAATTTAGGGAATAGACAACAATTAAGAAGAGACCATGGGTCATTTCTTCTCACGGTATCTCGGGTTCCTAATTAGTCCTATCCGATCGTAAAGTCCCCTTTCCCAGGGTATTCCCTTTTGGGAGTCTATGAGCAGGGATATATAAGAATACGCGGGTAGAAGACAAGTCTGCCGCGCCGGCACGTCTTCGCTAGGGCTGCTAGGGTAGCACTAGACGATAGTTGAAGAGTTTGAGATTCGTATATGTCTCGACTGCGAAGAGTTCGTTCATATGCATACGCGGCATATGGTTTGAGACGTGGTCTGCTCTCATCCAATCCGGGATTTGCTCCAGCCCCATGCTGTAGATCATCGGATTCTTGACCTTTCTCGACGAGGAGAATGGTTCGAGTTATGGCTAGTCTAATCAAGCTATCAAGACCTTACCCATGTTTCAATACCCTAGGGTATCATCGCCAAGCTGGGATGTGTATTTTCGATGGAATTTCCCGAGAGCAATCGATCCTGACACTAGACATCTATGGAATAGCAATATCAGACAGGGCTAAGCCATAGTGGAGCCCGCATTGTATTTCGGCATAAGAGGACCCTGAAATATATGTGCATTCATAAGCGTGGATACGCTTTTATATGAGGTAGTCTTCGAACACCAGACTGTTCGGGCACATCGGGCACACGGTATCCGTCAATTTCAAAGTAGCCTTTTAAGTCGGACGAAAGCAGCAAGCTAGAAGTTCTATATATTCTATATAATTTAAAAGCAACCGTAATGCGATAGAACGACGCGGTAAAGAGATAATTGGTAGGTAGTCAGTCGTATGAATTTCCTCGTAGTGTAGCCGAACCCGGTACCGATATTGACAATTTGACGTAGACCCATACATTCATATGCAATGTAACGATTCCCCGGCTCTAACCCCGGGCGCAGTTTCAACACTTATTATAAAATTTCCTAGCTTGTCAGAAATGTTATTTTGACGTAGACTAAGGCTGATAAGTGCCAAGGGCACAGCCTGGAGATTTGAGGGAATTTACATAAGAATCATCTGATCATCTAGTTAGTAATCCACATATAAGGGAATACTACCTATTATTAAGCTTATATGAATCGGAATTCTATAATTAGGAGATATAGATGGACCTACATAGGAGCAGCTCGATGTGATATGGCTATCCAGCAAGAATGATTGGATAGCCAAGTGCTCGTATTGCATGAGGTAGTTTTATAATGAACTGACAATGGATAAACTACTTGAGGTACCGGAACACTAGCCAAGTTGCAGAACGACATTGGCTATCCATTGGTTGAACACCCAGAGGAAACATTTATATCAACAAGTCTGTTGCTAAAGATAGTGATAGTGTTATGGTTTGGCCAGCCCGCTCTTATTCATATACCTAATGATTTTCATTATTGTGTCGGATTAGGATATTCCACTAAAAGAAATGGAGGACATGTACGAAGATACACTGAACAGCATCTCTAAGATAGAGCTGAATAAGGTAAAATTTACTTACAGCATATTGGCGTGGATTGTTTTCAGCTTTCGTCTGTTGAAAATCGAAGAGCTTCGAACATGTTTTGACTATAAAATTAAGGCATCACTGAAAATACTAGGAACGCATACATAAAGAGGATGATATTAGAAAAATATGTGATGGTCTGGTTACTATTGTTGGCAACCCGCTTCCCGAAATATTTCTGTTTATGGACCACGCAGCGTTTTCCTCGAGTGTGATACTAATTCCTCCATCATATCCTGTTTCGACTGGCTTAACTGATAGTACCCAGGCCTAATTCGAACACACCTTGCATGTCGACTCCAAGCAACGATGGTATAGCTTCAAATCCAAGCCCAGCACATTATTCACCTTTTTCACAAAGCTTCTGCAGTCATCGCATAAAGGGCTACTGACCAATATCTTGGCCTCCTTCAAGGGATTGCTCGGAGATATTTTCCATAGATCCACAAGCTTCGTCTTGTGTTCCTCCAAAGTGAGCTCCGAAAATAATGACTCAACTTCCGGCCTCTCAGGGATGGGCAGTTCACACTCTAAGAATCGGTGCCTGTGGACGAAGTACGCGATTAATTGTTTCTCCGCGTGACAAGCATTGAATCGACCCGGTTCGCCTTGGTCACGGCGCTCATCAGGTTCCGGGTTAAATTTAACCTGCTTGCATAGGCGGAGTACCTTTGTCCAGTCTTGGCCAGGGACATGAATGTCTTCGTTTTGTCCATGCGTCCAACCACTCATGGCAGCAATTTCTGGAAGCCCTCCACTGCGGATCATGAGTGCAACTGTCTTCCATTCCGTGGGAAGACTGTAATACATCGTTAGGGAGAGCATCTTGCGGTCGTTGGGCGAGCGCTGATAGAAACATGCGTCTAGCTGGTAGGGACCTGGCTCGTCTGCCACACCCTCAAGAAGGGAGACAATATCTTCGCGATCCTTGTTCCTCGCATACGTATCTTCCTTATAGATGGGCTCGGACTCCCGCTCACAGCCACCAGCGCGCCTCCTTCGTGTTTTTTCGTTCTGCTTCAGCGCCTTTGCAAAATCAGCAGCGCACCGAAGTTGCCCGCCATCGATGCATTTCTTGGACTTGTCAGCCCTGTGCTTTAATAAAATCTCAACGTTTTCCAGTCGACCCCACAGTGCTGCCTCCATGAGAGCAGTTCGACCGTTGTAGTCGGTAGCGTTCGCATCAACGCCCTTCGAGAGAAGAAGTTCGACCATTTCAGACGATGATTCACATGCGGCCATATGCAATGCGGTCACCCCTTCTGTCTCCACCACGTTATTTTTCGTGCTTATTCCCTCGCTTTCATCATCAGACTCATCGCACGGAGGCATCTCCCGTGAGTAAACACCATGTAAGAATATGTCGGCCTCTGAGGAGGAGTCGAGGTATTTGCGAACATACTCGACGTTGCCCCGTACCATCTCGCTTACTACAAGGACTATCTTTCTGTTCGAGAAATCCTCGTAGACAACCTGGGACTCAATTGCCTCTGTCCACTTTCGCTTCCTCTCGATCGATTCCCTAAAGGCAGCCTTCATGTGGTTTACCTTGTCCTCCGGGACATTATCTTCTTCATCGGGCACACGAGCTCCACCCGCTACGAACCGAAGCTTATCCTTGTCAATCTCGAAGGTATCCTCTGGCAACACTGGGAATTCTATCTCGTAATCAAGGTAGTACCCGAGGTATTGGGATTTTCTGTATCCTTCGTGGACTGAATCACAATGAGGGGCACGTCGGTGGCGTTGGGAATAGTTCCCATTGAAGCCGTGGCGATGGATTTCCTTGCACCACGGGCATATGATGTACATGTTCTGATTATCCCACCACTGTACCTTGACTTTCCACGTTTTCTTTGCGATTGTTTCACTGGCCATTTTGTTGCAGTCTTCAATGATGAATTGGTAAGGTTTGTCTCAACGTAGTTGCGTGATGCTTCAGCACCTCTCAGTGATGCGGCTTTGATACTCCCGCTTTCATCTCCTCTGGCATGGGGACGACTTCCTCTAACCGCTAGAGGCGCTGTAAAGTGTGATTCGATAGCATTCCGCCAATTATATACCTCCGTGGCATTTATGTCAAGCTACTCTTGGTGTAAGCTAATCACAGCATCCCGCCCTCCATTCCACTCAACGCTAAGGATCATTACCGCTCTCCTATCGAAGGCAAGTCGATGCCCATACTATCCGATATATTTAATTCATTGGTTCCTGGTATCCCTCATCCGATGGTAGGACAGGCTGCTAATCGATCAGTCACCTTCACTTGGGGATAGAGTAATTTGTATGTTGAGGAGGCGACGATACTAAGGATGATGACGGCAGTGAGCCCGGGAGAATCCTGCTTTCTTGTCATACACACCATTCTAGGTCCCACTCCCACGATACGGTACATTCTAACCAATTAGATCATCAAGTATTATCATATAAAAATACATTTATTCCATCTCTTTGGGATACATTAGGTACCTACTGTATACCTTCGAATGTTTTCGGCGTAGGTATTTTCTTCTCATCATGCAATTAATCAAATTGATTCAGCCTCAATTACATATATTCAATAATCAAGACATTTAAACAATATTAACTGACTTATATTAATAACCTCGCTAACTGAGTATAAGGCTAACACACTACGCCGCCGCAGCAGCCAGAGCCTCCCTGCGGCTCTTACTCTTAGGGTCAAAGTAAGGCTTCTCACCCAAGCTCACCGCGCGGTAACCCGAGCGCTCACCAAGCCCCTGGTTGAGGTAATCCGGCGTAGCGGCGTGGTAGACGCTGCGGTTATCCCAGATGGCCAGGTCGTTGGGCTGTTGCCAGCGGAAGCGGACCTGGAGATCGTGGTTCTCGACGATAAGCTGGACGAACCAGTCTAGGAAGCTGCGCGACTCGTCCTCGGATAGCCCGTGGATGTGTTTGACGTGGTGGCCGACGGCGAATACGCTCTTCCACCCGGTCACGGGGTTCGTGCGCACTACCGGGTGCACGGCTTCCAGGACCTCGCCTACGTTCTCGGGCGCACCGCGCGGTGCGGAGTATATCTTGAAGTTGTTGCGATCTGCTGCCTCGTTGAAGGCTGGCTGTGCGTAGTACGCTGTTAATGTGTCTAGGAAGCCTCGTAACGGCTTCGAGATCCGGTCGTAAAGCTCGTAGCCTGAGGCCCAGAGAGTGTCTGCTTGGTGGGTCAGTTTCAAGCTCGTTTTGCCCCTATTTTCCGTTTCTGGATGAAGAAAAGAATGACTACGTACCGCCTCCAGTCTTGGGTAGCTCAGTAAGCCTTAGAAGCGCATAATCGCTAGGAATGGGCTCGAATGTGATATCCGAGTGCCATTGATTCTTCTGCGTCTGCTTTTTCTCAGACCATATATCTTTCTTAGAGTAGATCTTCTTGGCTTGTTGCGACGAGATAGTGCTGATCTCGTCGTCGCGTCCACCGAGCTCGCGACTGGAGTTGATTATGGGGTGGATGTGTAGCTTGGAGGTAGCCGGCTTGCCGGATAGTTCACCAAGCCTCTGTACCAGCTCCTTTTGCAGGTCGTTGGTAATGTTGTCCTGTTTGCGGAAGAAAACCACACCGCGCTGAGATACTAGGATAGATTCATTAGACCAAATCAATTCGGAAGGCCCGTTTCTTTCTCATACCTGTGATAGCAAGGTCGCGGATGAGTTCGTCCGAATTAGGGGCTCGCAGCCATTCGGCCAAGTCTACATCTATGAACTCCTTTCCAATCACGGGTGTGACATCAAACTGCTTAAACTGGTCTAGAGCACCGCTTAGTTTCAAGGGCTCCTTGTGGTTCGTCTCAAGCTTTGGTGGCTCGTCTTCTAAGCTCGTCTCGCCGACCGCGAGAGAACTTTCCACCTTTGGGCTCTCTTGCGTTTCCTTCTGGGCGTCAGGAATGACCTTCTGCTTAATATGCTCAGCAATTGGAGAAACGACTTCGGTAGCTAATGGCGCCATTGTTTATTTAGAATGCACGGGCGATGAGACGTAGATGAGGATGAATTGTCAAGTTCACACGAGGAAAGCGTATTTCAATAAATATAGAACTTCCAATACCGGACCTTATATAAATATCTCCAATTGACGTATATATAATAGCAATCTGCCGAGCCCGGCCGGTTAGTAGATGGCGTAAGCGAACCCATTCTAACGCCATATGCTCGGATACCATCTCTTATCTAGAGGTGGATTTCGGATTGGATAATATCTTTGATCAGATAAGGCACTTACATGCAAGATAGTATAAAGATGTCGTGACTGGTAAGGCGCATCTCGAATTCGCGATACTAGGGGCGACGCTGCTTTATGTGGGGGATTGTGACATATACAACCGGCCTGACGTGCTCGATAGCCGTCCGATCAACAAATTATCTTTCACTTAGAACGACAACCGATACGCTAGGTAAACCCCCGCAACTCCAACTTTGAGCAGACTATCGGGGCTGTGTAAATATTGTATCATTTCTGGGATTTCAGCTTAGTGATTTGTCACGTCGCTATACTCGAAGTATCATACCGAAGTCTATCTAGGCAGTTATTCAATATAATTCCCAGGCTTAATGCGAATGATATGCTCCGAGATAGGATGTTTCAATTACTATGCATTCGCAATGAAACTATAGAGTATGTCGGTCTCAGATAAGAAGAATTATGCTCTTGCAAGCAGTAATATATTGTAATGATACCATATCAGTTATTAAGAATTAAGACAGTTGTATACCCCTCAAGCTAAGGAAATGAGAATAGGTTATTCAAGATTCTACGCTAATATGTTCATTAAATCTCTTATTTAAATAGATTAATTAAAAGTCTTCGAGGACAATATCAAGATAGCTAACATTTTTTAGTATTCTTATATAGATGTCATATGTATGTAGATGTAAAATGAAGTAAATGAAAACGCGGATCGTCAAATATCTTAGGATGACTGGTTCGTGAATTGTTATTTCGAGGAGCATAGGACACCCCTTGCGTAGACGAGTCGGATTAAAATGGAGTTTGTATAGGGACAATAGAAAGCTGGATTAATGCTAGCAAGTTTGTTGGTTACGTGAGAAAGAAGACAACTATCTCAATATGTAGTATATTTAACAGTAATTACACATAGTGAAGAAAAGAGAAAAGCCGAGTCCCCTTCTTGAGCCACCCGTACATTCGTTTACGAATCGTTTCCTTCGTACTGATATTTGCTAACGGATGCACCGTATTCATCAAACCTGACTGGCTCATACTTGCAGGGGGTTTCAGTTGTAACGAAACGTGGTAGAGTTTCTACAACGTGAGTGAAGTCAGGAGTAGTAAAGAAGGGAATAGAGTAGCGAGCGGGAATACCCGTCTCTGGTACTCTATCAGCCTTGGGAATTGATACTCGATGTGAAGCAGAGATAAAATAGTCTTCATTGGAGCATGTTAGCCATGTAAGCGGCTAATGGAGGGTTATGAACCAATATATTACCCACCATTAGTAAAGCGTTGAAGCATGTCACCAATATTCAATATGATTGTTTCATCTTCAGGTTCCGCATGAAGGTATTCTTGTGATTGGGGGTTCTTTAGTTCTAGTCCCCCGCCACCGTCTTGGAACAGGATCGTGAACGTTCTGTGATAAGTGTTAACATTAGCATATATCTAATCGGGCTAAGGTTGTATATATATTTGAAGAGCTTACCCCCAGTCAGTGTGGGATGGTAGGCGTGCTATTAAGTCATTCTGTAACCTGTCTTTGCTAATAGCAGGGTAATGCAATAAGCGCAATTGGCAGTGGCGATACGAGATCAGCCTATCAAGTGCGGTACGTTCTTCATCGTTAAGGCCTAAGCCAACACAAATAGCCTGAAGCAAGGCCTCGCTCACACCGCACATCCTCTTGTAGAGGTCTGCCATACGACGCCTGAAGTCGGGGAGTATATCATCGGGTAGCCATATGTTCTGCTGCACGGGATCATCCTCACTTCCTATTTCATAACTCTCCTGATGCATGATCAGTATCTGACGGGGAAGGGAACACCGGAATCGGGCAAAGGAAGTAAGACAATAATGAGACTGATCCTCTATACCTTGAAGTCGGAAATCTTTCGTAATGCTTTGGCAGGATTGGCGACCGCGCCATTTGCCTCCACGTCTGCAGGGGAATAAACTTTCTCCTTGCCAATGCCTGAGTAACCTCGATGAGGCATGGAACTAGGAGGGTGGGGGGCTCTCATCTTGTCTTCATACGGCAGGTCGAAAAGCTTCTTAGTCCAAGCAAAAGCCGTTTCAATTTCATGTTTTTCAATCCCATGGCCCGCAACTTTGACAAAACCTAGGTTATGGAGAGCCCTGACAAGAGCCTGTCCAGATCTGAGACGTTCCAAATCAGCGAGGGAATCGCTAGTCTCGGTGATAAAAAGGGAGATGTCAACCGTCTCGATAGGGGTTTCTCCGACGCGAGAAGGATAGTACGCCATTGTTTCTGTGTAAAAAACGACGGTCAAGCCACACAGGTGTACAGGGAACCAAAAAGACTAATGATCAAGAATTTGGGCGATGGTGGCAAAGTGAAATAAGAAAGTTGTATAAAGGTGATAGAAACTACCTCCACGTCATTACGGAACTTATATTGATTAGCATATGTCATCAGATTTCAGATACGGAATATCCCTTGCATCATAAGGGGGTATGCTTATCTGCGGCGCCAATCCGCTACGAGTAATATGTAGTACAACCCCAAGAGTGATTAGAGAACATGAGGCGTTGATGTCTCAATAAAAGGCGTTACTACCTCGGAATCCGAGGCTCGGATCCTATCCTACGGGGTAACGATAGACTATATTATAGGCCACATACACTAACACAGGCGGCTATAGCATCCGAAGAGGATGGATGAAATGAGTGATCGACAAAGGAGTCTACTCTCAAAGGCTCAAATACAAGATTTCCCTTCAGTATATATTCTGTTATCGATTCAAGGTCACAAAGAAATCTCTTGGTATCTATTATTACCAACCTCATCATCATATATCCGTATTCCATATTTCACGACGTTCACTCCATAAAATATGTCTGAGGCTGGCCAAGGTATTTCGTCTAGGGGTCTTGCGGTACGTATTCAATCCTTGAAATAACGTAGGAAAGGCTGCAATTCATCATATACATGAATATAATAAGAATATAACCTAGGCACTTGTATGTCTAACATTCCTTTATAGGCCGTTATCTGGACACTAGCCGGCGTATCGACTGTGTTGCTCGCCGGCCGCTTATTCATCCGAAGCATTTTACTGAAAAGTTTCCACTTGGATGACATTTTCGGGGTCATATCTTGGCTACTGATGATTATTGGTATGAGTATTGCGACATTTGAGCTCCCACTGAATTATCAATATTCTTCAATTTTGATAGGCGAGTCTCCAGCACCCCCTGAGTCCGAACTCGCAAACATGGCCATCAGGCTACGCAAGTGGGATATAGGCAACGAGACGTGCTTCTGGACATCGCTTTTTTGTGTTAAGCTTTCCTTCATGTTTCTCTATAAAATTGTTTTTTGTCCCCACAGCAAGTACAAACGTGTCTGGTTATGGGGTTTAATTTACATCGTGCTTTGTTATGGCACTGTCCTTATCGGTGTATACGGTCAGTGTGGTGACGCAATGAATTTATTCTCTTACGGTTTGTTCAACTACACATACCTCTATTTGAAACTCTCTGTACTAACTAAATTACCCCTAAGAGCAGTGTAGAACGCCCTACGTTGCATTGCTCAACTCCAGGATAGTCTGGATTGATTTCTTCTTCAATGTTACATCTGATATTGTTGGTTAGTTCCTAGAGCCATGATATAAAGAGCCTTTGGGCCGAACAAAACTACCTCTTACTGACGTTCCTAGTAATTGCTCTTCCGATGCCTGTGATTTGGCACTTGAATATGGGCACGAAGCAGAAGCTAGCCGTCTCTGCAATTTGTAGCCTGGCAATGATTACAATTGCATTTGAGACACTGCGAACCGTAAAACTACACCAATTGGACAATCACCTCACCATCTTCTACAGCTATCTCGAACTGCTGGTGTCTGTGCTTATCAGTCAGTTACCGTCATACCGCTTCTTAGTTTCTCCTTCAGACAAGGACCGCGAACACCGCCGCCTATTTTGGAGTCATGTTACTATGAGGGGTTACAACTCTGACTCCTTGGAATACTCTATGCAAGACTTGGACCGAACACCACGTGCGACCGAATCGCGGGGGACTACCTACAGTACTACTAGAGGTCTAGAGGTGCCACCTATAGTATAAATTAATGCTAGATAATAATTCCTAATGGCACTATTTACATAGTATACATGATGTTAGAACAGCAAGAAAGTTGACGTGGTATAATTCGCGTTTTTGCAGTACAATCTTTAGGTCCAGTCACATTCTCTCATCGGTATCATCGTATTTCATCTTATATTTGATAGTAACGGGCGCTCGTCCGTGAATATTGATGTGCCCAACCTCTCCAAAACTGTCAACCTACAAATTAAAGTGCTTCAATCCTTCTAATCCTATACCAGCATATAGTCAACAATGTTCTACCTCTGGGCTCACATGTCCCCGTATCACGTGACCGTGACACAACTAACCGCAGGAGTTCAATCCTCACATCGCTGCGTTCAGCCATTAGGAAAGAATTTCATCTTTAAATTTTAAGTCTTTTTTCTTACTCAAATAGCAACACGTATATGTAGAGGCAGGTTGTGCGACACGTCTTTTTGGGTGGTAACATGTCCACCTTTCCATATACTCGATAGACGACGCTAGGTATCGCGATACGACCGAGCCGGTGAGAAAACCTAGGTACCTAAGGTAGGTGACTACGAGGTTAATTGCCTGATTTATACTTGTGAGTATTGATAAATACAATTCTTTCACCTACGATATTTACGGACCATCTTAGGATAGGCCTTTTTACAAGTTCAAATGCCACGGCAATAGGGGTTAAAGATGATTTAGGTCGAGTCAAGACACTCTTTCGACCCCACAAAATTTCTTGCATCATTGTAATGAAAATAAGTTAAATTTCTATATCCGGACGTAAACGTTTAATTTGAGACCTGCGAATATTCTATTATACATTCGTCTTCAGCCAGTATAATGAGCTAGGTGATATAGGACTCTAAAATGCTCTGCTTGTATTGACTATCTAGAAATCCGATCGAGAGGTTAGGTACAAAGTGATAAGAAAATGCTTTCATGGGGACAGTAGGTGATTTTCCTACTATGGTAAATGATTGGAAAATGAACACATAGACAGAAAGGAATAAGATTATAATGTGGGAGAATGCCTTAAGCAGCTCACGATTTAGATGGTAGCTGTGTAGCAACCCCGCGTTACGTTCGCAATGTCGCCACCAACATGACAGCTGGCACGTACCCAACGTCCCAGCATTGTTCCGTCAGGATGAGTGCCTGGGTCGTGTTACAATGAAGAGAGCTTGGGAATGTATGACAGGGGTATTGACAATAAGACTAGCTGAAATACGACCATAACGAACAATGACGTTTGAATGTATTATAATGTATTTTGTATTTTAATTGCGGACCATCAGGTGACTGCTTTTCGAGTATTATAATGGACAAGATTTACGGAAGCTTAACCTCTCCTCCTTAAGGGTTTTACAATGTGACAAAAAAAGACGCCTTTTATCATACATAAGCCAATCTCAAAGTCGGTTCTAGGCAGTTATTTACGTGACCGGGTTTCAAAAAGGAATTATAATTCCTTATTCCCGTGTTCTTCAAGGGTTTGATATAATAGATAATTCTTCGACCATGCCCATCTAACCAACTAAAAGTCCGGTACTGGTAGGGGTAAGGGAGATTCGGGATATTTTAAAGGGAAAAAGAATGGGAAAGCCCTTCGGTCCGTTCTTAAGAAACGTTTATCGTTGCCCGGCGCAAAAGGGAAGTAGATTAAGACTTCCTTCCTATTTAAACCCCGTAAGTGACCGTAATCGCCAGCTAAAGTTTGGGTTGACACTTACAATGAACAGATTTGTTGCTACTTTGCGGTATGCCGTTTGCCAATAATACTTAATACGATAAGGACAAAACCAGGTGTCTGCTTTCTGTGGACCTCTTCATGTTACCGTGCGCTGAGAAGTGACTAGAAGGAGATTCTGGACACGAAGAATGTGCCAAGCCAAGACTTGACCCGTACAAACAATGGGCGACGAATCGGCCGTTCATAGGGGAAGGGGCCTAGTGTCTTCTCCTTTCGGCATATTGTTCAAGTTTTAAGGCTAGAAGGTGCTATATATCGAATCCTTCTCGATTTTGCTTGGTTATGTGAAGATTTACACGAATACCTGAGCTTGTTCATTTTTACACTAAGCGCGTGAATGTTCTTATCGTCTAAATATCGGAAGCTCACTGTCATAGGTATCCTCATTCTCCATACTTAACTTCGATTACAGAAAGGGTAGTAACACATACATGCCCCATAGCGCATGAAGGAGCATAACTGTAATATTTCTCGCCTCCCAAATTAATACGATACTGCTGTCAAGCCTCCGTGAGAGATTTGCTATCGCAGAATATGGTGTGGATCGACGATCGAATATGAAATACTTATAGGGACATGTCAATTAATACACCTTGACCATGAACGCGGAGTAAAATACCCGACACAAACTTATTTCCGTCGTGACATCAATCTAAATGCCTATATAATTCGCTGTACCCGAAGGAACGTCGATGTTGTCCAACCTTCAGATATAGGAGGCCCTTCTAAGCGAACATACGTTCGTAGGATCTACCAATTGCGTGGGTAGGATACAACAAACAGAACCCAGATCAGCGATCAGTGACATCAGTATTTCATATGGAAACAATATCAGGTCACCTTTTTCTTTGCTTGTCGCGACATGGCCGTAAGCATTTTATTTTCGCTTTACCCTACGTCGCTAGGAGGAATAAGATTGGTCAACCCCGCTTCGGACTGTGTTCCGGATAGAGAATTCCACGTATGCTATCTCACTACTACTGCTTGAACATACATTGATATATGGGACTCACACCAGCAGAGAGGTATAATCTCAATGTCAAGGTACGCGAGACTTGTAAAGAAAGTTTAGGGCATGTTAGATTCACCATCCAACTGATAGACTAGCCGGAGACTTGTAATGGCGGTACCCTGAAGGTTCAGGCATCATCCCCTGGTGATCAGTAGCATACGTAAGGTTCAACACAAACTCATTGTCATAAAAGGAAAAGACCTCGCACTATGCCTTCATAATAAACATAATTGATTGATCTAATAACTAATGTATAACCAGTTTATCTTCCTTAGCCAACTTTGGTGTGTCTTATGCTAGTTAAGGGGATAATGTAGCTGTATGTGGACACGAATGGTCCTGGTTTACGCCAACCTGCATAGTTGATTTCGGTATAGCTTTCCCTTAAGAAAACAAATTATAAAATTTACCCCTGGTCACGAATAGTTAGGTATTAACCCACCCGTTTGCGACATTTGTATCCAATAGAGATATCCAAACAAGATAAGCAAGAAATGCTAATCTCTTCTTTGCATATCTAGATCAACGTGTTTATTGCTTGATCTATCTTTTTGTATTCCCTACCTTCCCACCACTCTCCGTACCGGGTTCAACATCACACACCGGGACACTCCCAGTACTTATTAAGAATGGATCCCTCGTACGAATTGTTTGTAGACCCAAAATCGTTAGTCCAAGTACGAATGGACTTGTCAGCCTTCTCATTTCCTATGCATGACGGCATCTCTATATTGTCTTTCCACGCACCACAACTGCCGATGGAATTCATAGGCGGCTCGCTGGGGTTCCAGAAAACATCCAATATGGATGAACTGCACATCGGACAAGACAGCCCTGCAGATATAGGTTACGGTGCTAACCCTAATATAACCAAATGCTTGACATTGCCCATAGACCTCGACTATCAGCAAATAGGATCGGCACAAGAAAGTCGCAATGATACAATCCAGAGGTCACATCTCAGAAGCAGCAGCAACAAAAAGCACGAGGACGACATGGTCTTCAAAAGAGATACTATAAAACCAATCGGATCGCATAGCCGCCGGTCATCACGATCAAGTAACAAACTGACTAGCGATGAGTCCGGAATCGAGAAGCGTGAGCGAAATCGTATGGCTGCTACGAAATGTCGAAAGAAACAGAAATTGGCAAATTCGGAGCTGCAAGAAAGGGCACGGGTTATGAGCGAGCAGCACAACTACCTCGTCGCGCACAAAGCTTCCCTCGAGTCGGAGATGATCAACCTAAAGAACGAACTCCTACTCCATGGAAGCTGCGGCTACGAGCCCATCACCGATTATCTGATGCAAGCCGCGAAGAGGTTTGTTAGAGGACGCGAAGAAGGGGTTCAGAGCAGCAGGGAGAAGGCAGAGGAACTACACGAGCGACTACATTTTGCTGCCGCTCGTGAGACTTGTAGACTATGACAAGTTTGGCCACGTGTAGCGATGACGATTAATGATCTACGAGATTGATGAAAGGATAGTTCGCCTATGGAGATTGCAATTTGCAAATGTTATGTCATGCTAAATATAATTGTGTAGATACCAAAATGTCGAATCATCTTCCATTCTCCGAGACCCCATATAATTACAAATAAGCATTAGTGATGATAATAGCCATAGCCATCCATTATCAGGATGATGGATCCCTCCACGCACTATCTACGTGCAAGATTCCGATGTTGAAGTTCGTACAACCCTCCTTCAGCCGTCCACGACAATACCTCCATTAGGGTGTACTACAATGAGTTAGCAACTGTCTCTTCGAAGCGCATAGGCGTGGTTTTAATAAAGCAAATTTCGTGAGATGGAGAAAAGGACCCTCGGTATCACGTACATGTTTGGCCGCTCATGAACGCGCTCTCGCTCCCCGCGAGAAACACGTAGCTTGTCGCAATCTCACTGGGCTGCCCGAGTCGCTCTATCGGTGTCGAGTTCTCGAGACCTTTCCCCTTTCTACCTTGCTCGCTTACTCCCGTAGTGACGAGAGGAGGCCAAACAGGACCGATGGCCACGGCATTAACACGGATTCCCTTCTTCACTAGTTCGTTAGACAGCGCTCGGGTAAATGCGATTACGGCTCCCTTGCTGGCAGCATAGTCCTCACGGCTAGTGGTTCCGATGTAAGCGTCCACTGATGCACTGTTGATGATAACCGCACCGCTAGATAGGTATGGCAAAACGGCCTTGGTGACGTGAAAAAGAGGATTGATGTCAGTGCGCGAAGTCGCCGACCACTGATCTCTATATTGAGGTTAGCCAGCTAATACATTTAAGACTGACCCGGCCAAGCACAGCTTACTCGGTGATATCAGCGACGTCTCCTTTCTCATTCCTTGCGACCGCATTATTGACTAGGATGTCGATACCGCCCAAGACCGCCACCGCACGATTCACGAAGGAGGTACAGTGCGCGGCTTGGGTTATATCACTGGCGATGAGATGGATGTCACCCTCGTCCTTCTCCACCTGCGCCTTAGTATTCTGTGCATCCTCTTCTCTTTCGGCGGGGTAGCTGATAACTACTCGAGCGTCTTCCAATGCGAAGAGAATCGCTACGGCCTTACCGATCCCTGAGTCGCCTCCTATGATGATAGCTTTCTTCCCCGCGAGCTTGCCAGAAGGTCGAGAGAGGTTCACTCCGGAATCTGAGTCCGGAGATGGGATATGATTGATGGTTGGCTTCGGATCCATGTCTCGTCTAATCGCTTACAATGGCGTTTACTGACCGGAATTCCATCGTTTACAGACCGGCCTGGCACTTCATATACTCACTGGTGCTCTTCTCATACAATACGTCAACCTCATAGTGAGCAGTTCTCATTCGTCGCAATATCATAACTACTCCTGGTATTACTGTACATTTATTGTGAAGTACCTGATCTTATAATTAACTATGCTATCAACAGAAGGACGTCTCTGAAAACAGGGTCTCGGACTCCGATCATACTAAACCCCACGATGCAGCGGCTCGTTGAATTGCACCATCACTACGTGGTTTGGCGTAATATTACTTGAATGCGAATATTATCCTTGCAATGCAATTTTCACAATGACATAGTTATATAATGTCGTCAGTCGCAATTCCTGAGTGCGAGCCGGTATCCTTCCAAGTTTCTGCGGAGCGAGCTCCGGTGTCATCCATGTACCTTTACGCTTGAAGTTAGAAGTATCCCCTTATGTCCCCTTAACTAGCTCCCAACAGACCGGCAGACTATAGCAGAATTATCTCCACAGAACTAACATATGATCTAAACCGCCGAGTATCTAGTCGACCAATTCTATTAGATATCAATTATGTACATAGGTAGTCATAGCCTAACGGTGGCATTCAACCATTATTCTAAGAAGTTTGGTTTTCTGGGAATATTTACCATGCAGGCTTATGCATCCGGCTTCTATGTACTACCCATGGTCGACCTATTATATCATCAAGATTTACCTTAGGTATCCTCGGATATTAACCAATAGATTTTTCCCTTTACCACCACAGGCCCCCCTTTATACCCCCTTTTTAAACTAGTGTACTATAGGTATTACTACCCAAAGTACCAACTATTGAGAAGAGTACAACCAAATTGAAGCACTGATGTTATTTTTATTTCCAGAACAGTCTTCCTAACGTCTTGTTATACGACTAAATCAAGACACCGAGGTAAAAAATCGCAAGGCATTGAGAAAGGTTTAGGGATTAAGTCAAGACTTTTAGCAATGGCTTAGGTTAAGAGAGTACCCGAGAGGGAACTGTTTGATAACAAGAACATATCAAAAGTAAAAAAGGATGTACTCATTCACAATTGAGGGCTTTGGAACTGTACATAGCTCTCTAATATGTATTCAAGTTGCAGTCCCCGAAAGGGGTCACTCAATATACCTTAATCTAAGATAATATTTGAAGCCTCTTGGGCAATATTCCAACCCATGACAAGGCTGGGGCCTTCTTTGGTGAACGAATCATAGTACCAAGTGAGCTATAATACTAGAGGCCACATTTAGTGTTTTAAACTTGGTCTTTACTAGCCGTTTTGGACACGTCCACATCCTCGTGGTGGTTGACTTCCTCATGATGGATTTGCTTCTCGACAGCTTCCGTCGCGGCATGAGCACGCTCATCGTCTTCGAACACTATTTTTCACGGTTAGTTTATGGTCTTAGCCAAGAAAATTTAAGGGGGTCGTACAGAAAGCAAGCTCCTCCAGAGTGCGGCCCGAAGTCTCGGGCCAGAGGAAATAGATGAGAATGGCCTCGACAGTAATCCAACAGCAGTACACGATTAAGAACTTCCAGCCGATGCCGGTAATAGGGTCCAATCCGACAGGGTTCACATTCGTACCAAAGAACTGCGTTCGAGTTAGCATGATTGGTATAAATAAAACCAGTTTCTCGTGAATCTCACCTGGGAGGCTTTTCCGAAGAACTGGAAGATTGAAATTCCACGAGCTCTCATGGCATACGGGAAAATCTCGATAAGGTACGCTAAAAGGCCATGATTAGCAAATCTTTCTCATATGGAATCTTAGTACTTACTGTATGTCAGAGCATTGAAACCCATGTTGTAGGCTGGTTGGTATGCGTAGATCCAGAACAAGCAGAGTTTACCCGCAGCTTTTGAACCTCCCACGATAGCCTCTGCCGCGGATATAGTCCATGCTACATAGATCACCAAGATTCCAATGATCGACGTTAAGTACATTGTTCGCCGGCGAAATCTCATTACCAGAAGTGCGGTCAATACGGCGCAGACTAAACCCCAGACCTGGTTCCCGATGTTGTATTTGGCCTGGAAGCTAGGGTCCGTGAAGCCGATCAGGTTAAGGATATCGCCCAAGTAGTAGGAGATAACCACATTTCCGGAAAGTTGCGACATAACTCCTACGAGCGAACCTATCATCACACGTTTTCGGTTTCCTGCTGTGCTGAACGTGTCCATCCAGGAGCGCTTCGAATGTTCCATCTCAATGTCAATAGTAGTTTTAATCTCGGCCATTTCCGCCTTAGCGAACTCCGAATTCTCATCACCCTCAGCGTGGTATGTAACTAGGACTTTGAAGGCTTCCTCGTATCGCTCCTTGCTAATCAAGAATCGAGGACTTTCGGGCAGGAATCTAGGAGAAGTTAGTAAGGAATACTGTGGCAAATAAGCTACGAAACTCTTACAGAATCAAGGCAACCTGTAACAGAGAGGGCGACATTTGAAGAAGGGAAGGAACTCTAGTGTATATGCGTTAGAACAGTCTGTAGTTTAATATAATGTCAGGATATCGATTTACCTCCAGGACCTAACGAGAAAGGCATATTAGACTTGACACACGATAATAGAAATTCATAACAATAGACTTACCAGTCCGACGGGATTTGCTGAGTTCCATAGGTTACAGACGAAGCCACGATAGCACCGATGAAGTAGGCCGCGTTGAACAGGGATGTCAAGATAGCACGCTCTTTGGGATACGCAAGTTCTCCGATCAAACTTGATCCTGCAACAATAGCGTAGGGAAGCCCGAATCCAATGATAAGCCGAGAGACAATATACATCGCGCCTTCAATCCTAGTCAGTTCAAGGGAGCTGTAGTAGTCCCATGTCGCGTTTTCACGTACCGTTGACAGCGAACCCCTGGATCAAAGACCCTATGATCATCACTACACTACCAAACATCACACACCATCGTCGACCCAAGTTATCGTTGAGGAGCGGGATGAATGGAAGACCGATGACGGAGCCGAGCGGTAATGCCGAGGCCAAGATGCCCTTGTAACCACCTGTTGGATGTCCGAAATCTACAATCCGTCCGTGATTAGCTCCCGTTCCTGACCGCTCTGGTTTTGGTTGCCCGAAACTTACAGTTACTCCACGCGGGAACCAGCTGGACGGCGTTGATAATTTGTGAATCGAATCCAGAAGTCATTTCGATTCCCATCAAGCACGGAAACAACATGAAGTACAGGTAGCGCAAATTCTTCTTCTTGTGCCATGGAACCTTATCCTCCATCGCCATGCGATGGACGATATTGTCCGTCTGAACGCCGCCGCCAACCATCTTGTCGAACTTTTCTCACGAACCGAAGTAATTGACCGGGATTATTTTTCGCGAAGAGAGACAAAGTCCGATGAGACAAGTTCCGGTCTCTGAACTCCAGTGAAATCTATCCTACAGAATCGAGCCATAGTAATGTGCTCGCTCATATATAACTACATATATAACTAAAGGCTTTTAACTCGGGCCGATTGTTCCAGTAGGATTCGGCGGTTAATAAGGCAATATAAGCTTATACCTAGATTGCGCGCAAATCACGACAGGTCGCGAGTAGCTATAGCCATTTTTCTATTTAGCCGCCAAGCCTGATTTCCAGACCCTCTCCGTAAAGTACCAACCGAAGGGCACAGCAAATGGAGACCCCGGAATTTCATAACTTGTGGTCAGACAGAAAGATTCCCATTGGCTAACTAGGTTTCATCGCCTCGTTCCATTTCTCCATGGTCGAGGTCGTTCGAGAAAAGGCCCGGAACAGTAAGATGGCCCCCCGCAATATCTCACACAACATCCGCGATATCCCCCGCTGTGGGCGCCGTGGGATGAATTTTAATATCTCTCCCGGATTCGACTGTGTTCAGATTAATGGTAATTATGCGTAATATATGCCGACTTCAGCTCCATAACCTCATGAGTAGGGCTGTCACGAAAAGCCCTCAGCCTGTCACAGCTCAGCTATCAACTTAGCATCAGGCGAAGGGCCGTTTTGGACCCGGCTCAGCGGATAGCACAACCGAGACCCTATATCGCTCTATTATATAGACTTTGGGACGTCGTGCAAATATAGATTTGTCGACTCAACGAACTTGTACGTATCAAGAACTTTCGACAACCCCTATTTTCTTTGCTTAGACATTATAAGAGTTCTACAATAGAAGGACATCTGTTGTGTTTACGTTGAAAATGTCTTCAAAGGTTAGGAAAGTTGCTGTTATCTCGAGTCTCCATATACAGGTATTGTGCTGTACCGACATGCCGTCGAAAAGCATGTAACCTCGCCTAAGCAAAACCCGCCTTTCGCGATATTCAACTGGGTTACGGTCGATCATGTAGCCCTTCGGACCTATTGCCATCGGATGCTCCCACACTTAACGTTGAATAAGATAAGTGTTTATCTACTCTTAAAGCAACAGTGCTTGAAGACGTCAATAAGTAGGATAGCAAGTGGAGTTGAAAGTATAAGAGCTCAATCATTGTTAACGTAAACATCAACTCCGAAAGCCACTCTATCTTAGGTAGACTACCATTTAGGTAATTATGCGCCGACCTGACTTAACTCTTTGCGTTTGAAACCCGCAACTAGCCGTATCAGTGGCTGATTGTTATAAATACTGGGCTATAGATGAGTGCGGTTTCTAGTTGGAACATTCAAGTACTTTCTTTTAGCCTCTTATAATAATCGACAATTTCCCGCCTGTTACACCAATGCGTTTCTAATCTCTATTGCAGCGATACTCCTCGCAGGCTTTCTTGGTTATAATCAATACACAAGGTGTATTTGTTATTAGTCTTGATAATAGAGCCCAAGAGAGCCCCAGCCCCTAACCTTCAATCTCCAATTTCCTCATATCGCTTACTTCTAAAATAGTGTCAACCAAGCCAAACACGCTCACATCATTATCAGGCACGTATTAGTCACTACCGCTGATAACCGTTTGCCATTCCCTTCATAGCGACAGTTCCACAGTAGGTTCTCCATTCCAAAGTTCCAGATGGTAAGAGAACCGAATCGAAACCACCATAATGTGTTAACCAGTAATTCCAGTAATTTTAGGTAAGTATACACCACTGCCACTATATTGGACAGTGTTTAATGGGCCACTTTCTAGTTTTTCATAAGTGTTTTCTGTGAAATCCTCCCACGGAACGGGTCTTAGGCCGTATTTGCTGAGCTGACGTTGAAATCGTACGCCGCCTAGCTGTACGAACGTGATTCCAAACACAAACAAGTATATATGTGCTATTTCCTGGGGAGTAGGCAGTGTATTATTTGCTATGTCGCCTAGTCTTCGATGCCGGTCTACGCCAAAGGCTTTGAAGTGTTCGAGAAGGGCGTCTCGCACGCTTTGGACATAAGGGGCACCTACCCGGTCCTGATGTACACGGGTACGTGCATTTGCGATATATTCGGCTTCATGCTGAGAAAAGTACGGATGGCAGATGTAAAAGGTTTTGTCGGGCGCGCTGCCTAAGCGATACGATGAATCTGGATCTTTAAAATGGTACAGATCCCATACTAGGACTTTCGCCTTGTACCCAAGATATTGCGTGTCTATAATGTTTGCTATAGTAACATCCCCCCCTGGTGGTGGTAATGGGTATGATAGTGGTGCCAGATAGGGACTGTCCTCCTCCGCGGTCTTTATCAATTTAGACATGACGCTTCGACAAGAATATAATGCCTTCGAGTGATTGATGCTTAGTTTAATGGCTAAGAAACGGTTACGTGTAATTTATCTCGATTTCAAAGTAGATCGGTCTTTCGTATAGTTATAAGAATAGCACCAAAACTTGACGATGTTAGGCCTGAATGTTGTGTTGTTGGCAATATTCCTTAGCTAGATGTGGACTATGTATCACGATAGAGATCTTAATAAAAATTGCCTATAACTACCTATGTACCTAGGTTAGGCAACTACTCTCACCTTCCACGTAGGATATATAGTTTGAAATTATCATAGAACTCTTAGCATGGTAGAAGGAACTACCGTACGTGGAGTGGTAATCTCCTATTGGATTGCATTTCAATGATATAATTACCTATACATAAGAACAACAAGCACAGAAACTTATTATTCATCTCACATATTAATTACCTCTTAAGCCAAGGTAAATACCAATATCAATTTATGATTAAGCATCAATTGCACAGGAATTTGTCAAATTCGAACATGTTGCTAACTATATGCTATTGTCCATAATATAGAACTAATATCAACGGCGGCAAAGACAATAATAACTAAGCCTTGAAGAGAAATTAAAAGTGTTATTATCACAGCTAGGTGATGGTATCCGTGGGAACCCCGCATCGCGTACAAGAATGATTCGTTGCAACATACATCTCCGATCATTCATATCCATGGCCTCATAGATCTAATGCAATTGATAATTGAAGATTTAAGGCGCATCAACATCTGGGGCCTATTAGAGTATCATTAAAGAGTCCATATTTCTCTCATGGCTCCAGAGCAAGGTACAATTCCTGTGGTAGACTTTGGTGCATGGTCGAAGGGCTCGACAGAAGACAAGAAACGCATTGGCGGGGAGCTAACTGACGCATGCCGTCGGGTTGGCTTCGTATACATTGTCAACCATGGTGTATCGAGTGATTTACTCGAGGAGGCATTTGATTGGTCGAGGAAACTTTTCGATCTTCCTCAAGAAAAGAAGATGATGGCTCCTCACCCACCAGGTGAGTCTTGGTCCTCTTGGTCCTCAAGTCAACGCAAATTATTGAACTTATAAATCAGGCCCTACTGTCCACCGAGGATATTCGTGGCCAGGTCTAGAGAAAGTGTCGCAGGATATCATCAAGGATGGCGATGAAATAAAAGAGGCCGAGAACCGAAAAATATCAGATTTTAAGGTCGGTCTTTTCGAATTTCGTTTGGGTGAACTTCATGTTCGATCTACCGAGTGAACAAAGGCTAAATCTTGAATAGGAGAGCTATGAAATTGGTAGCGAAGAGTCTAAAACACAGCCGAATGTCTGGCTACCCGGAGACGTCCTCCCTGGCTTTCGCGAATTCACGATGCAATTCTACTGGAAATGTTTCGGGGTAGCGAAAGATTTGTTGCGCGCTTTGGCAATAGGCGTCGGCCTAGAAGATGAAAACTTCTTTCTACGCTTCCATAGTGGAATCAACAACCAACTACGACTACTTCATTATCCGTCGATTGAAGCAGAGAAGCTTTCTAACAATGTCGTGGCACGAATGCCGGCCCATTCGGACTGGGGAACAATTACGATGCTTTTTCAGGACGACTGTGGGGGTTTACAAGTCGAGCATCCTCATGTGCCCGGTCATTTTGTTGACGCGACGCCGATGAAGAATGCATTAGTTATGAACGTTGGTGATTTGCTAATGAGATGGAGTAATGGTTCGTGTCTTATATCTTTCTGATGGTCAATGCTCCTTGATAAATCAACTAACCGTAAACTTCAAGACTTCTTAAAGTCGACCCTTCACCGCGTCACCCTTCCACCGATTCAAGACAATATGCAAATCGACGGAAAGTTCATGACTAAGTCGAGGTATTCGATTCCTTACTTCGTCTCGCCGGATGAGAAATCTGTTATCGAATGCTTGTCCGTCTGCACAGATGAGGAACACCCTATCAAGTATGAGCCGGTCGTGCAGGAAGATTACCGGCGAATGAGGGCTAGAGGACAGTATGTAGAAGGGGTTGGCACTTCGGTACCAGTTTCGTAATACCGAAATTACGATGTTGAATTGATGAGCGTCGAGCGGTACTTAACGAGAAAACTCCTAGGAAATTGTAATGGGAAGGCCTTACGTTGATAAAAGGCCAAACCAAGTTGGCGGGATTGTTATTGGAACACGGAATTGAACGAGCTATCACGAATTTCGAGAATGAATAACTATAAATAATGTTAGACGTACTTAGGTAATATTGAGTACAGGCAGATACACGTAAATCGTGACGACCTAATTCCCTATTGTTTGCAGTATCCACAAGTATCTCTCGATCGCTGACTGCAGGAGCTTGAAGATGGTATGTATGTACCTCAGCGGGTACATTGTGATAAGTACAATACATATGTACCTCTTGCGCTCCCCAGTTTTACATACCCACCACCCAATCAAATTGGCCCCCAACTCTTCAAGCCAATTACAATTTCTTTCTTCTCTAGGGCTGTGTTTAAGCGCTGATTTTAGCGCCTATCAAAACAGCGTAGCGCTTGGCCACGCAGTCTTCGATCTCGGCGCCATCTCGCAAAGTCAATAGGGTCCCGTACAACCGTCCAGCTTCATTCATGATTGGATAAACCTCATCGACGCCGAGTAGCCGGGCGAAGCTGTATAGCAAGGCCTAGCTACGGGTTATCCCTTCTGCAAGCATAGGACATACATATGCAGCCTGGTCGCCCCTGAGAAGATGGCGGCCAAAAAGGCGACCATTCGTCGATCACGTCTTAAAGACGTCTTCCAGCTTTGCTCATCTACCTCTGTTGTATGATATCGAAGTTTTGCTTTTCTTTTTCTTATTATATCTGGATTCGCCAAATATATGAGGAATCCGTCTTCGCTATCCTATATCAGATATATCAGATACCTATGGTTATACGATCCATGTCTATTACACATATGTATGTAAGTGCGAAATGAATGCGGGGCTTATGGCACGTTGACGATCCTTCGCGGTCAACTTCAACCGCAACCCTAACTGCCTCAGCTTATCCGGTCTTATACCGACTCTCAACTAACACGGCAAATAAATAGTGTCTAGAACTCGTCTTTCCATAGCTTGATTTGAATTCCCTCTATACCAAGAAGCTTAAAGATCATTGTGCGACAATGTCTACTCATTACTATCCCCGTACGTGATCGTCTAATTAACTAATACTCTTCAGCTTCGGCTTATATAGCTAACACTAATAATCTAGCGCCTCCCAGCACCAATAGCCCACCAGGTATGCTTTCATAGCAGGATCATAAACTTGCGCCAGTACTGGTAAATTGACAGAAGCAATTGCAGCATCACAGATAAACTACCAACAGCCGACATCCCCTCCTGCGAACAAGTCCAAATTCTACCCGCCGCCACCAGGCACACCCAGTTACGCTCCACCACAGGCTCATAGTCAAGGCTTTTCTACTCCGCAACAAACATACACAGCTCCTCCACAACAACAATATTCTGCGCCTCCGCAACAGGGCGTATCCCCGCCACCCAAAGCTGGAACACCTATTTACCAACCTCCGCCTCCTCAGCCAGCACACCATGGAGCTCTACCGATTCGAAACGAAGGTGCTCTCACGCCACCAAGTGGAGCTGCGCCCGCATATGGGGATATAGTACACAATGCTCCAGAGGGTTTCCCGAACGAGAAGGCACAGAGTATTCTAGGAACGGGACCGGCGCATTCGCGGACGGCATCAAATCCCGCGGCAGCGCCTCCGCCTGCACCTGCGCCTGTACCTACAGCCGCGCAATTCCAAGGCGCCGCCGCAACTTTAGATGACGTGGGGACATTCAATGGGGGCTCATACCGCATCAGTCATAGGGACTGTAATACGATAATCACGATCCAACTGGCAATGGGATGTCCGATAGCCGCGAAGCCGGGAGTACTGATCGCTATGAGCCCTACCATCACGCTGAAGGGCGAGTACAAGTTCAGCGTGAAGAAATTGATGGCTAGCGGCAGCGAATTGGGACACTCGACATTTATCGGCCCTGGCGAGCTGCTACTCGCGCCCGGCATGCTCGGCGACATGACCACCATCCGCTTAACAGGAGAGGAATCATGGAGCGTTGGCAAAGACGCTTACGTCGCTAGCACTCAAGGTGTTATCCGCGACTACAAACGCCAAGGACTCGGCAAGGCCATGTTCAGCGGGGAAGGTCTATGGGTCCACAAGATCAGTGGTGTTGGTCTGCTCTGGATTACCAGTTTCGGTGCAATTATCCGCAAGGATCTTGCTGACGGTGAGAAATATATCGTCGATAACGGACATCTGGTTGCCTGGAATGTTAAATATGTCATGGAGCGTGTAGCTAGCGGTGGCATCATGGGAGGACTTGCTAGTGGAGAAGGGTTGGTCTGTAAATTCACAGGACCTGGCACTGTATTCCTCCAAACGAGAAACCCAGTAAGTATTTCCGTTTTTCTCATTCTCTTCGCTCAATGTTCGATATATCTGGACTTTCACTGACTAATATGTTGTGCAGAGAGCATTCAGTGCTTATATGACGGGCAACGCAGCACCGCCGTAAAGGTATACACTAGCGAAGCTACCATCCAGCTAAAATTCAATGTTTCCAGTTGTGTTTATAGGAAAACTACATGTAACGTTTAGGGATTCGTGAATTGAATATGTACTTTATCTACGTTCCATGTAATCCGTTTTTTCTAGCTGTCAAACAAGCTCATAACTCTTGTAACAACCGCAACAGTACACTCATTTTCTAAAGTAGATTTTAATACGTCCTTAAATATTAGGGAAACGCAGTACATCAATCATATCAATCTAGTTAGCGAAGTTTGTTCTACGGATTCCTAGGATGGTATTATTAAGTCTACTCAAAAGTCTTGATTTGCGAATAGTACGGTATAAGTGGCGTGTACCCAATATATACATAGATACCCAGCTGACTCATCTAATAGATCGGCACTTACGTTAGGTACCTACATGTATGTACCTAATGCTTGTACCTTCATGTTGGAATCTCTTTGGGTATACATCAGGTGTACATAATGTTTGGTACCTACACGTATATATTCCTTTTATTCATGTCTATTCCTCAAGTAATGCCATAGTCCAAACCATCAGGTGTTTAATAACTTGAACATAAAACTCTCATCTAGTCTCACCCCAAATTCACTTAAAGTAACCATTCTCATCTCATCCCCTACCCCACTCGGGATAAAGAGGCAAGTTAACAGCCAACATGGCGCAACCTCAGCTCCTCGAGGGCCAGTCAGGCCTGCCCGTCGATAATCCGACGAAGTCGTATTGGCACAAGGAGCCTTCGGACAAATTGTTAGGCCACCGAACGACAAAGGAATTGCCCCGCTCCGCCGATGTGGTCATTGTAGGGAGCGGCATCACGGGGAGTTTCGCCGCTCATTTCTTGAAAGAAAAGCAGCCTGATCTGAATGTTGTTATGGTTGAGGCGCGAGAGGCTTGTTCGGGAGCTACTGGCAGGGTGAGTAGAACGAATATGCTTATTCTAAGTTGAGAATAGGGGCTATTGTATTAAACAGGACTCCGACTTGGATGTCCTGTTTAATTCCTTGGCTAAGTCCCCTCCTTATATTCCCCCTTTTCCTCTATGAAAGTGTATTAGTGAAGAGACTTCTCATATCTCTATATCCTATATAAATCATTGTAGCTTGATTGCACGATGCCATTCTATCATATTTCATCTCATCTCGTTTTACTACCTATCTACTAACACTACTATAAATCCAGAACGGAGGCCACTGCCAGCCCGCAGTATACGCCTCGGAACCGCACATCGCCTCGTTCGAGCTACGCAACTTTCTGTATCTCAAAAGCCTAGTTGAGGAGTTCTCGATCCCGTGTGACTGGCGGTCGACAAGCGGCGTGCACGCCTTCTACTCGGGAAAGTTATTCAAAACTTGCCGCGCAATCGTCAAAGACCTCGCGGAACACTACCCGGACCTAGCCGCCAACGTAGCCGTTGTGACTAAAGGCAAAAAGGCCGAGGGTGACCTCTCAGGAAGTCCGGCTTACCTTATCGAGGGCGAGCGGCGGGAACTTACGCTTGACGGCTTGAGGATACCCCACGCCGAGGGCGCTATAGTGCAATGGAACGCCGCGAGTCTATGGCCGTATAAGCTCGTTGCGTTCGTGCTAGAGCGTTTGCTCGCAACCAACGCAGAAGCATCTAAGGGGTCATTCAACCTCCAAACCAACACTCCGGTCACAGGACTTTCCCGAGCCGAAACATCAGCCAACCTCAGCAGTCCCGGCGGTACTAAACCCCCCAAGCACAACTCCATATGGACAGTCCACACCCCACGCGGCACAATCGCTACTTCCCAAGTCCTCCTCGCAACCAACGGATACACATCCCATCTCCTCCCACAATTCAGCGATTTACTAGTCCCGACCCGCGGCCAAATCTCCGCCCTCAAACCCCCAGAAACCCCCACCGACCCGACAGACCCGCCCCTAGATATCGGACACACATACTACATCGTCGGCGAACCAGTCGACCCCTACGCCCGCGACGACTACCTAGTCCAGCGACCGCCCCCCACCGCGGAGCTCATCTTCGGCGGCGGCCGCCAACATGCCGCGGGGCGGGGTGTGGGGGTGTGGGACGACAGCAGTATCGACGAGCCCGTGTCCTGGTATCTGCGCGGCGAGCTATCCCACGCCATTGATTTGTCTCTGCGCCATGCCCCCCCAGGGGAACATAAGTCTCCCCTCCGAAAACTCGACCTAGAGCCTACCTTCGAATGGAGCGGCATAATGGGATACACGCGGGACGGGCACCCGTGGGTCGGGCCCGTCCCTCCTAGCCTAGGCGGCGGACCGGGACTCTGGCTGTGCGCGGGGTACACGGGGCACGGGATGCCGAACGCGGTGTTATCGGCGCGTGCGGTTGTCGACATGTTACTCGCTGGAGACGGCGATGACACCGTGGAGATCGATCTCCCGCCTGAATACGAGCTTACAGAGAGGCGTGTAGATGACGCTCGGGGAGAGGAGGAACTCCGTGTCGCAGATGCTAAGGGTAGTTTGTACATGGACTTTGGGCCTCAGAGGGGATAGAGGAAATACTACCCTCTACGCGTGACGGTGTAGATACGTTTGTGTACCTACATAATTGACATGTACGTAACTGATTAGGATACAAAAATAGTGATCTTAGAAGAGCCATTATGTGTGAACATCGAATGTCAAATTCATCATAGTTCCTGATTCTTACGGTTACCTACTAGCTACCAACGAATCCAGACACAATTTTCCAATATGGACAAGGGCACTAGATCATATCAACCCCATTATGAGAAAACAGTGAGGTTTCATTCGAGCTACAGCAGCTTACCACTAAATTCGACATAAAAGCCCCACGTGCATTATTTCCTTCTTCTCTTTCCCTATCCTCCTCCACCACGCAAAATCCTCGCGTTCCTTCTTCGGGGGTATAACAAACTCCATTCGTTTCCCTGGTACGTTTCATTCAATAAACTCCAACGCAGATGCTGTCCCTGGTTTCCTTTCCGTACATTTCCATTTTTCTTTTCTCGTCTCAGTCAAAAAGAAAAAAAAAAAAGGAAGAAAAAATTACCGTCCAGTCGGCTTGCTTTCCTCCTAGGCCACCGAATATTTTCTATGTCCGACGCAAAGTTATAGGGCTCGTGAGTGTCCAGTATGTCTAAAAGGGATGCGTCTTCGTCGACGGCCGACGCTGGCCGAATGCGAAAGATGAAAAGTAATGGAATAAATTCGTAGGAAGAGAAGGAAAGCTTGATGCCTAAATTAAGCCCGGGCCCCCTTGGTCGTGTTTTATGGCCAAGTAATTCACCAATTTCGTCAGAATCGGTATGCCGATTCAAAAGTATCATCGAAAATGTAAGATAGTCGAACTGTAACAGTCCTTGAGGTTGGTGATGGTTCCATCGTCAGCAAATTCAAGTAAGAGCCAGATGCTCCTCTTGGAGGGTGTTTCTAATCAGCCTCCGCTAACTGCATGATCAACTTGGCTGCCATGTCGAGGAAAGGGAAGGGGCTCATAACGGCCTTCTCCTCTAGTAGAGTTCCGTCGAGCCGTTCGTAGCCCGCACATTTGAAGTCCACGAGATAGACCTTATCTTTTGGGTCCATTTCATAAATTTGGATTTCCATTCGCATCCAGACGAAGTCTTGTTTGCGTTTGTCCATAACGGAGTAGACATAAGTATTGTCATCGGAGATCGAGTCAGCAGTGGCATGACCAGAAGCGACTGATTTCTTTCGGATATCTACGAAAGTGTTAGATTGGAATATATCAAATTCAAATTGGACGGGTCAACTCACCATCTTTTTTCCAACGGCAAACTATATGCCAAGGATCGGCGGGTAGCCTGTAGTATTTGATAGGGTCAAACTTCTCTAGGTCAATGTCGTCGGGTGACAAGTTCTCGTACGGATTATGCCCGTCTCCTTCATTTGGTGTTCGGGTTGCATACGGGTCCCTAACATAGTCAATAACCCCGGCAAAAATAAAGCTGTTGATAGTTGCAACACTTACGATTCTGAGCCATGCACTTTCTCATAGTCCTCGTCTACGACCCAAGTAGCGCCAAGTTTCGACAAAGACTTGTAGATGCACAATAAGGCCTCAAAAGGAGCGTTTCGGGACCTTATACCGAATTGCCAACGAACCTGTTTGGTTCTCTTGGGTGCAACTGGGGTCATTGTTTGCGGGTGGGTTGATTCATCAAGTCTCATAGCGCTTTTAGAATGAGGCTTAAGGCGGCGAGCCGCTTCTTGCTGCTCAGCAGGCGTTCTAGGCTGAAGAGGAACGTCGGGAACTGGTTGAACATCTAACGGTTCTTCGACGCCAGCATTCTGCCGTTCAAGATACTTCTTGTGTAGCGAAGGGAGACTTGTTGGTAATACTCCGACGTGACTTACATATCCTCGGGGAGACGAGCTGGTAATTGTCGAGCTGGTAGAACGGGCAGAATCGGCCAGGGGGCTAGCTTGCGACTCGCTCATATACTCCGTTTGAGAATTCCGCCGACTGTCTAGGACCGTATTACCCATAGCCTCCGAGACACTACGCATTTGTTCCTCGGCATCCGTAGTGGGAGGAGACGTGGCAAAGTAAGGGTTATCTATACCTGATCCGTAAGCAGCTACAATGAGTCAGTGACATTCATAATTGCCGTGGAATAACCCCATGAAGAATACCTTGAAGTAGAAGACAACATAGGTTTTGGCCGCGCGGGTTTCGGTCATGATTAGGGGCTTAAAGTTTGAAGGAAGATTTGATGACTTACGGTTTACCTGCATGAGCTTGTTCTCACGGACGATCATGTACGCATCCTTAATGGCAGAGGGTTCATCAGCTTCGAGGGCTTCCTGAACGTCACGTCTTCCATAACCCATCGTTTTACTAATCTTCTCCGTTACTTCGTCATGAAGTTTCTCCTGAACCTTAGGAGGGGCATGGGGCGCAATATCACTTGGTCTGATGGCCCTGTTAGGGTCAACACCAGTGTTGAAGAATTCCTCGACAGGCGGGGCAAGATAGGCGGGAAGCTCCTTCATGAACCAAGGATCCAGTCTGATATCGTCGATGATAATACGTTGCACGGGATTAGTCTGCAGCATCTTTCGGATAAGATTCGCCGCGTCGGCGGGGACCCAGTGAGGGACTGTGAAGACACCCCGCTGGATTTTTGAGAATAAACTGGGAATATGGTCGTCGTCGAAAGGAAGTCTGCCGACTAATAAGACATACAAGATGACACCACAACTCCACACATCAACTTCCGGCCCAGCATACAACTTCCCGCTAATAACCTCCGGGGCTGCATAATTGGGGCTACCACAGCTGGTCTTGAGGAAATTCCCGTCTGTCATGATATTACTCAGACCGAAATCGGCAATCTTCACGTTGAGATTATCATCGAGAAGTAAATTTTCGGGTTTCAAGTCTCGATGTACTACTTTGTGCCTGTGGCAATACTCGACGGCGCATATCATTTGCTGGAAGAACTTCCGCGCTTGATCTTCAGGCAGTCGGCCATGCTTGACGATATAGTCAAACAGCTCGCCACCGGCATATTCCAAGACCATTATAATCTCGGCTGGAGTCTTAATCACAGTGTATCTGCCAAGGGTCAACAATAATCCAACAATTTCATCAAAGTCGGAGGGGTTAATGTCTCGGGCAAGCAATGACAACTTACAGCTTGATGATATGGGGATGTCGAAGCAACTGTAGATATTCGATCTCTCGCTCGACGCGACCAACCATGTCTCTACTGATTAACTTCTTACGGGCGATGATTTTGAGTGCGACCTTCTGGCCAGTCGACCTATGGACAGCCAGCTTCACCTTTCCGAAAGAGCCTTCACCCAGTGTTCTGATAATGTTATAAGCGCCGATTCGCTGGTCGGTTCTGTTCTTTTCTCGGTTCTGCGACGCCTGGTCGGAAAGTATGCTACCGGCTCGAGACCTGCCGCTGGAGCCGTCGGCGGTTGGGTGTGTGACGTTAATCTCGGGTATTCGAGCTCCATTGTTTTTCGGTCGGATCATGGAAGGGGATAAGGACATGGAGAGTTCCTCTTCGTCAAACGCTCGGGAGGTCATCTTGTCGAGGATGGTGGTTGGCGATATCTGGATGATGGCGAGGTTGATGAGATCGTCATGAAGTTACGTCCAACAACGAGGGGCTCTCGAACTGGGGACCGGGGGCCGGGGGGTCGGAGGACAGGGGACGGGAGTGGAGTACTATGTTACAAGCTTTAGGGTAGCGATGCACGCTTGGCAAGACTTTGAATCTTGGCACCAAACGCAGCCTTATTAGTGTAGCCGCTAGCTGGGTTATAGTACCTAGTACTTAGCCACAGGTTTAGCTCTTGCCGTATTCAGATGTATTGGCTACCTTAGACTCAAGCATCAAAGGGCATGCAATGCACTCTTTGTATGGTCTTAAGTAATAGGTAACCCAGGTACTAAACCTAAGTGTCAGATGAGGTCAGCCTTCTGCCTCTTCAGAGTTGACCTAGGGATGAATGTCCGGTCTTCTACCCTATTGAATTGTTCTAGACCATTTGTTAAAGATGGAAAAGCGTGAGCTTACCTCAACTGTTGATATCTTGCTAAGCCCAAGCATCCGTAGGAAATGGTTATACTACAGCGTAGAGTTAGGTTGATGAAGTTGAAAAGAAGGAGAAAATAATGCACATGTAGAAATAATAATGGATTTAGACAATAAGAGAATAAAAACACGCGCTGCCCCGTATTATTTAATACGTTTGTCGAGTGTGATTTCCTTGAAAAGTTAACTAAATCTCACATGTCAGTATCGAATTACACATGTAGCCTGCTCTTGCTGTCCCACGCAGAGAAGGTACCACAAGTCATGGATATGTACATATGCTTTTAATTGGCAGGTATCGTCAGGGCCCAACTTATGATTGGGAACTTGTAATACTTAACTGTGAGACAACAGGATCAATCATGTACTTCCTATCGAATTAGGGCCAGCTAATGTAGCTCTAGGAGACAAAATTGAACGTTGGTAGTACAGGACGTTATAGGAATCATATTAATTCGGCCGGGAGTTACATGTTATAGTTAAGGGGTATATACTTAGGTATATTTACATTACATGCTCTTAATGTATTACCTATGTAAGTATGTTCATTCAGCCATTAAAGTTATTGATTCTACGTGATTAGATACATACATTAAATCAAAGTGCAAATGCGCGTAAAAGGAACATGTAAGCCAAGACATCGTATCTCGATCACGTTGCAAACGTACGAGCATATATCTGACATGCATCAGGCAAATATACCAGAGAAATCTATGCACTAATTTATATTTTTGTAGTGCATTGGATGTATCTGGTGGATTTTATATAATACATACATACCTACGTTAGGTACCTAACATATGTAACCTAGTCGAGTACGCCATGCTTCATGGTGTCTCAAAAGTCTTCTCAAATGTTCTCAACATCAATATCACTAATACAGTGTCACAACTTTTTCTCCTCCTCTTTCAGCCTCTCAACAAGTTTTGTTCTAAGAAAATCGCTCAAGCCCAAACTATTTTAAGTTGCCAATTAGTCAAAGTCGGTGTTTCTAATTAGACATTTTCGAAAACTTACATTCCTTCATTGGTAACAATACGGTATGTCCCACTTGGCTCGAATTCCCCTATTATGTTTCCAGACCCATCGACTTCGATGCTGCCAAGAATATCTTCCGGCCACGCAATTCGGCCGTAGTCAGGTGGATTTCTTAGGTCGCTAAGATGGATATGCCCTCCGACTCCAGCACCTCCGGCACCCCCTTGGGCACTCGCTCCTCCAGCGCCGCCCCCGCCAGCACCACCTCCTCCACCTAATCCAGCGGCTGTTCCTCTTGTGTTACGCTGCTTTCTTTGCTGGGGAAAGAATGCGCCGCCCGAACCAAGAGTTGCGCCGCCTGGACCGGCGAAAGCTAGTGCTTGGGATAGGAGGTCAGGATCCTGCGCGGCATGTTTGCGGAGAACGTCGATTAAGATAGATAAAAACTCGCGGTTCTCGGAGAAGGAATTGGGTGTTGGGGGCAATGCGGTTGTAGAGCCAATGGCTAGCCGGTGTTTCGGCGGATTTGTATCGAGATATGTGAGCAGATGCCCATTGTCTACTGAGGCATTGGGAAAAACTTTCTTGAAGAAAAATCATATGAGCAAGACCGAACTGATCTGTAAATTGTATATAATATTGGAGAGGCTACTGACTATATAGGAATTGGTGCTTAATGTAGAGACACTCCTATGTGACAGTAGTGTCCTATAGGTAGGGTATATGCGAACTCGTGATAGTAACATTTTGAGACTATAGATCGATCAGCTTGATCGCATCTCCTGTATGTCAATTGGGAAGTTCAATGTTGGGAAGAAGTTCTAAAAGCTTGATGATAAATATCAAATTATTATTTGGTCCTGCTGACGTATTAGCTGCAGCTTTTACGTATGTACATGCAAAGCTAGCATTAAGTATAGGTACTTCGATAAGACTCTTGATAAGGGCAGGTTTTTACATATGTCAGGTACTAGTAACTTACAGTATCCATTGACGCACCTATTCTGCCCCACATCGATTAGTGACCCTTACTGCTCATTAACGCGTAAAACGCGCCGGACGCGTCTTCCAACTAAAATTATATCGAAATATCAACCGCCGTCTTGAGGAGAGTTTGTAACAAAGCAATATAAATGACAATTAGGACAATTTAGCAATCTTCAATATGCAAGGAAACAAACGAACTGCCGCGTCAATATTCGCGCCGAAAACGCCTGCCCCCTCGAATCCCATCCCGTCTTCATCTCCGGCCTTTGGAACGCCAGCGCATACACTTAAGCCGTTTGCCATCGCACCACCTACCAAAGCTACTATCCTCCCAATTCTTCTTCCGCCAGCAACCTTGAGGCCGTTAGCGTTTCGAACCTTTACAAAAAAGCATAGCTTAACCCTCACATCCTCCGCGCTACAAGAATTAGCTACCTTCATAGGTCGGCATTGCGGTTCGGGATGGCGCGAGGAGGGGTTGGCGGAGAAGGTTTTGGAGGAGACGGCAAAAAGCTGGAAAAATCGAAATGGAGGTGTAATAGTCGATGGTGCTAGTAATGAGCTAAAAGATATCCTGAAAACACTGGAGGGGAACATGAGCGGTGGAAGGATAGTGACAGGACGAGAATTAAATCGCCAAAATAGCTTGGTTTTGGACTCTAGCCAGGAGGCCGATTTAACAAATACAAGGTTAGGACTGAGGCCAAACAAGTCCCTAACACGCAATGACAGCGCAACAAGTTTTGGCATGTCAGGGCTCGGTGTCGAGGAAGATGAGCCCGACGACGAGAGCCTCAAGCATCCGAGGAAATGGTTGAAAGTCGTCAGTGCGTACGATCAACCACGGTTGTTATACAACGTAACAAAGAAACATTTTGAAAGGTGCGAATGCCTCTATAATATTGCACATGGAGTATCAAGGCTTATAGCAATTACAGGGATCCTTCGAAGCCATCTTTAATGCCTCCAGCAGCCCACAAAACGACTCTCTTCCGGAATAGATACAACGTTATACATCAGAGACTTCTCCGGAACGAATCGTTCCAGAGCTCGACAGTAGCAACTACAAAGGCCGCTCCATCTTTGAAACGATCCACCTCTTCTAATCTAACCACCCAGCAAACCTATAAAATCACCCCAATTGCGAATATGCTCGGCCGCCATGGTAGTCATCATATGCTCCTTGGGCTATTATCAGTCTTGCCAACTGGCAATCTCGCAATTAACGACTTAACGGGAACTATCTCCTTAGACCTTTCACAAGCTGTAGCTATACCGGAAGATTCGGCTTGGTTCACGCCGGGGATGATAGTGTTGATAGACGGCGTGTATGAGGAAGAGGAAGAATCGACTGGCAGGGGGCTCGGTGGTAGTAATGGTGTAGGTGGTATCATCGGTGGCCGCTTTCAGGGGTTCTTCATCGGCCAACCCCCTTGCGAGAAGCGCAAAGCTACACTTGGCGTTAGCGGGCTAGATAACCACACTATAGGAGGTGGATTCGGCTGGATCGACTTCCTAGGTGTCGGCAGTGAACGCGCCGCAGGGTCTAAAATGCGGAAACTTGAGCAGCGCATTCTCAGGAGGCCACGTCTGACCCAATCATCTACGGCGGACCCCGATGCCGACGCTCCCAGCTGCGGCCGCATCATCGTCATAGGCGAGCTCAATCTCGACCAACCACGAGCCCTCCAGGCTCTACGCAAGATCCTAACTGTCTACTTAACAGAGCCCGAGGGCAGCACGCCAATGACGTTCGTGTTAACAGGTAACTTCACGCAACACGCCGTGATGGCCGGCGGCGGTGCTAGCGGCGGCAGCGTAGAATACAAAGAACACTTTGACGCTTTAGCATCCGTCTTATCCGACTTCCCAGCCATCCTCCAATCCTCCACTTTCATATTCGTACCCGGCGACAACGACGGCTGGGCCTCATCCTTCGGCGCCGGTGCCGCCGTCCCATTACCCCGGAAGCCTGTCCCCGATGTGTTCACGAGCCGTGTACGCCGCGCCTTCGCCACCGCTAACGCAGAATTACCCGACAATGGCAAAAGATGCCCCGGAGAGGCTATCTGGACTAGCAATCCCTCCCGTCTATCCGTCTTCGGCCCCGTGCACGAGATCATCCTGTTCCGCGACGACATATCAGCGCGAATGCGCCGCACTGCTGTACGCTTACGTTCTTCGACCACGGACGCAGAGGGGAATCGGCATGAGAACCCCACCGCTAGTAACAACGACGACGACGACGACGACATAGACATGGAAGCCGCGCTTGACAGCACCGACGCAATGGACGTCGATACTACCAAGGGCACTGAACCCTCTGTCCCGCACGACGTGCGAACGGCGCGCAAGTTGGTGAAAACAATGCTAGATCAAGGGTATTTATGTCCGTTCCGCCATGCGATTCGCCCTGTACACTGGGACCATGCGGCCGCGTTGTACTTATACCCCCTACCGACGGCAATGGTGCTTGCGGATCCGACGGCGCCGCCGTTTTGCGTTACGTATGAGGGGTGTCATGTGATGAACCCCGGGTCGGTGTTAGTTGCTGGACGTAGGGGCGTAGGGCGCTGGGTCGAGTATGAGCTAGGGGGGACGGGAAGGTTGAGGGAGTGCATGTTTTAATGAATGGATGCTATCTACATGATGAAGTACTGAATATATACCAAATGCCACGTACTCTGCCGCCTGCATGGTAGATGGCGCATATAAATTAGACACGATTATTGTTAATGACAGGGGGGCATAGCATAGCATCGCCAATGAAACAAATAGATCACGGCGATTTTCCAATGCAATTAGGTACTTTCTTAATATTATATTAGGGGGCATCGTAGCCGCGTTACTTAGGTTTCTTTCCGGCTTTATTCGTTTGCAGTGTGCTCCCATCACCATTATTCATACTTCTCTTGCTAGCCGGCTCGCAGCCAATTTTTAAAAAGTTATAGGGGCATTCTCAAGTATGTACAGGTAGAAAAACTGCTAGCGGGTATAGACTCCATACGCCCATGCGTCGTCTAGGGATAAAATCTAGTAAGTTGAATGATGTGTGTTCGCCGAACGTCGATTCTCGAAAGGTCAAATGACGTACTAAAGGCTAGTTAGCAATGTTCGATATAAAAATCTAAAGGGGGGTTTTTAAGGGTATAAAGTACTTACTGGAATGAACAGGTATGGCACCTGTCTTTCATACTCCTTCCACGCATCACCGTACTTCGTCCTACAGCGATTAATATCCCTGTGGGCACGATGCACGATCATGCAGCAGAAGAAGAACGGGTAGAACCAAGGAAAGGGGCTGTTGAACCCCGTGATCAGGCCCCAGCTGATGGCGAAGAACGCATCACAGGTGTAATGCAGCTTGCGTGCATACCCGTACCATCCGTCAACAAGGAGCTTGTCACCAGTCTGCGTGTCGATGGTCTTGGGGTTGTCGAGGTAGATCCACGGCAACGGGGGAAAAGCATAGCGCTTCTCAGGGTTACCGCGCTCGAGGGCCCGGAATGCGTTCTTCTGCCCATTGGCTTGGTCCCATATAACGTACACGGAAATGTAGAGGACGAAGAACACGGCTAAGGCGTACTTGTTCCAGGCGTATTCCGATGGGTGATGGTTAGCCAGGTAAAGGGTGCAGTGGCAGTATGAGAGGGGGACACCAGCCATGTTCCAGAAGATCAGCATGAAACCCCACTTCTCATAGTACATATCCCAGGTAGTGATGATGAGTTGTTCACCCTTGGAGCAAGCGTTGGCGTAGAGATAGTGAGCCATAAGCAGGAACCATGCTTCGCCCGAAACGTAGCCATAGTTCTCGTATTGTCGGGCCGCCGCGGCGCAGGATAGTCCAAACAAAATGTACCAGGGAATGCGCACTTCGTAAAACATCTTGAAGTCGAGGATCCCGAACATACGCGGGTTCAGCTCGGCTCCCATGAAGAAGTCGTAGATGGGGTAGCCGGTCATTCGGTGCTGGGCGCCGCGAATCAATGCCGAGAAGTATGCGACAATAGCGACCAGGAAACCAGACAGGATAGCGACGGACAGGAGAGGACCAAACTCATCTAGAAGGATGTTGATCTTAAACCACCCGGTAAAGTGCAGCACGCCTATCACAACGATGGTGAAGTAGAAACTAGCATACGCCGAACAGTAATACCGAAGCTGCATGCCCCCTTTGAAAGGAAGAGGCTTTCCATAACCCCAGACGCCGGGTAGAAGACAGTAGCAAGCAGCCTCGAAGATAATGTAGGTCCAGTAGATTCTCCATGCGCGTAGGTGAGGGAAAGCACCGGTGTAGACGTGATCCCACATGCGCCAGCCGAAGTCGGCAGCAGACTCCCCTTCGAGCGGCAGCGGGGGTTTTCCATCGTAGTAGGTCGCGCCGATCCACATATACCACATGAGAGTCGGAAATACGATCATCAGGGCTAAAGTACCGAGGCTACCTCCGAACTCGAAGACGCCGGAATGATCGACCTTGGGATCCATACCCGGCTTCCAACCGTCAATGACTTTCTCCTCAACGTGCCCGTTGGCGTGTCCGTTCGTATGTCCGTTCATATTTCCATTGGCATGACCCTTCTCTACTGGTTCCGATTTGATATCGGTCTTGCCGTTGCCGTTGCCGTTGCCGTTCATGACAATAGAAAGCTTCTCCTTAGCGACAGGACTGAACTCCTCTTTTGACGCGTCATCCGAATCGTCCATGTGCTCGACAAACTTGCCAACTCCTCGACGCCGTACAGATGTAGACCTAATAGATCTAGTTGTTTCGGCAGCAGAGCTAGAGTCACCGTCGTCGGACGCGCCGTCCGCAATAGGGGGGAACTGAGATTTACGTCGCGTCGCGCGGCGACTAGGAGTCTCGATCATCCCGTCGAAGAGTTCCTTTTTTCTACACGATAACTCGAAATATCAGTAAAAATTCCTTTACGCTTGCAATTCTATGACGCGCTCAAAACGCCACCGCAGCCGCCGTCATTCACTCCATCGCATCCAAAGGCTCTTTTTTTATCATCCTAATCCGTCGTACTACTGCAATAGGGATAAGTACATACCTAGGAGTTGCACGTAAAGAATACCTTGAAGACATTTTGAATAAATCAAATATGTGCGAATGAATGGACAACGGGCAACTTATAAGAAGCTCATCAGTTAGGATTAGAAATTAAAAGGTTAGGAAGCAAATTAAGAGAATTCCATCCAGAGGTCGTTCTCGGGGTTAAACTTGGAGTGTGTAGGTACTTTTTTTGTTTTTAATTCTGGTCTGGGTCATTTTTAGCCCGTTTTTTCTGGTAGTCAGGGGCAGCGTTGAGCTGGCCAAAAAAGGGTTGACCAATCATGGCTTTTGCGCAATAGCCCACATACCCCATTGGTACTTAATTAGTACTTGCACAACAACCTTAAACCTGCTTCTATGCATCTGGGAATCGGGGTATCTTACTATTTTGTACCTGCATAATTGAATTCCAAATGCCCAAGTGCCCTTCCTACTATCTTAAAAACTTTAGGCACGCTCTAAACTTATATCAAACGCTAACCATCCATAATTGACTAATTCCCTTAGCCTCAATTATATTCTCCAATCAAAGCGCCACAACACGCAATCAATTGACACTCTAATCTGACCAACCCTTTTTCAAACGTATTAGCTTATAGGTGACTGTGGCCTTGGTCGTCGTGGTCGCTTTCTTGACCTTAGCCCTCCAAAAGGTGCCATCGGGAGATATGGCCCACGGCTTTCCTGGCTAGCTTCCGAGGCTTCCAGCTCGGTGGCTGATGAGCTTTTAGAGGCCATTGATGGGTCCACTCGCTCTGACCGCCAGCCCGGATAACTGCCTGAAGGTATTTTGGATACATGTAGCTCACTAATAGGGTTTGTCTTGGGTAACTCGGACTCTTCGGGCCCCGAGTTATGTTCACTTACTCTCGGTAGCTCCTCTTCGATGTGAGATTGACTGGCCGCTTGTGGAGCCTTATTGGGAGCCTCATTTTCAATAGTGGCATTTAAGCTCGTATTCGGGTCAGCTACCTCTGCTGATGGGCTTCGTTCCCCTTGAGTATAGTCAGTATCGACGCAACTCGGAGCTCTATTAGGACAAAGGGCACAATTATCATACATACCGACTAGTTCATCCAGGGACCGCCTAGGTATTATATACTTTTTAAAAACGCCATTTTCATAAGCATCTACCCGAGTCCCCATCTTTGTGGACTTTGACGAAGCTGTAGCGTCTTGAGTTTTCCGAATTGTTAGACCCGGGGGTCCTCGACGCGAAGGCCTTGTACTTGTTGAAAGAGCTTCTCGCTGAGTATATGATCGGATTGCATGGACAACATATCGTTCCAACTGGCGGCTATCCTCTGCGATCGCATCGTGTGAATCTTCCAGGATCGTTTCTGGTACATCTAACGGCGACTTGCGCTTCTTATACTCGGCCAATTCGCGTCTCAACTTCTTAGCTGTCGCTACCCAGTTTCGAAGCCGTTCCTGGAGCATCTCACTAACACCATCAGCAATGAAATATTAGTCTACCTAGGTAATTATGCGACGCACAGCTTTTCGCTATCCACGTTCCGTCTCCTCAATTCTTCAAACATGAATAAATTGCACAGCAATGTGACATTTGCTGTTGCGCTTTGAAGATTTAAGCGTAACTCTGGCACATCTGGCCGCTTCCAAAGCCACAGCAATCGTGCCCAGAACGTATTTAAAGGCGCCGTGTCAACACCATTAACGTCGGTAAAACACTGGACGAGGCGAGCGAACCCTCTCTTGACAGACTTACACTGCCTCAAGATTTTCTGTATCAATTCGGCTCGCTTTGCCTTAGAATGTTCACTCATGACAGCTGCGGATTCTTTCGCGACCTCATGAAAATAACAAAGATGGTCAGTAAATATGGAGGTCTCAAGTATAAAACCTTCGATTTCCTTTGGCGCGGAGCGTATCGCCCGCACACAAACACGCAATTCTCTCGTTAGTTTCACCACGGAACCAGCCAGTTGCATTATAGCTGCAAGGCCGCCAATCAGTGTAAGTGGATCCGTCATAGCGCGAAGTAATTATGAGTTTCGAAGTTTCGAAGCGATTGTTCCTACTAGTTATGTAATTATTAAGGGGAAGGCTAAACTTATAAATACACTCAACATCATCAACCTCGCTTCCAGACTTTTCTACGATCAAGCACATCAAAAGCTAGAAAAAAGCATAGCCTTCATCGGCAGAGCATCTAAGAGGGGGCTTGGGCAAGAGCATAGAGTGGGGGTTTCATCGCTAATTCGACGAGTGATGGCGTGAGCTCCCCGCATGTCCCCGGGCTGACTATATCCGGAGATAAATGGCATACGGTTGTGAGGCTCTCTTGTTCTGCCATGCCCTTGGTATGCATGCACTCCGCCATTTCCGGTACTTCCCATCGACTATTTGCCCTCTAGGTTCTTGGTACTCTAAGCTAGAGGAGGCTCATTATTGTAGCCTTGCAATTTTCGGTGGACTTATGGCATTGAAATAAACAGCTAAGAGGGGAAATCAATGCAATTATAGACCTTCTCGTCCTACAAGGTCGGCTCGCGCACCACGATATCAATACCCTGTTTAGTTTCGCAGCCCCTCCTTTTAACAGCGATACCTTATCAACTTATCATTCTCTTAATAGACCCCTCTTAAGAATCGAAACGAGATACCTACCGCGATATGACCCCGGCCTCACTCCAAAGATTATGGCCAACCTTCAGTCCAAAAGTCTTGATAACCAAACCGTCGAGAGCCAGATTGAAGTGAAGGATATTACATTATAACTAACTGTTATAAGATAACTAACTAACATAATACAAGCTAGTAAGATTCGAGTACGCATTATCCCCAATTTAGGTCATTTAACGCCAAGGAATACTAGAGAAGCTATCAGTTTGTTCAAGGTATTATTAATGATACCATGGTCTTAATAGATAAAGGGAGTTTAAGTTACCTTATACTACTCAAGTCTTTATCGTCTCAACTTTCGACGCAGTACCATTGCGGAGTTAACTATCGCAAACCCACGGTAATACCCGACTCTTCATTATCTATCCGAGTATCGTTTCCAGCTTACCAGCACCGTAATCGCATACGTTTAACGTCGGCCGATTGGATACTACTGAGGCTTACCGAGTCAGATCAGAAATGACGCAGAGGGCGCACGTTTACAAGCAGGTACGTAACATATATACATATATTGAAGATGAAAATTCCCGCCAAGGGCGCGCAGCCTTATCCGACTTGTCGGAACCTTCAGGTCAGACGGGAAGCTATCCAAGGCATGACTGCTCCAGCTACGAGCGGTCAAGAAGATGGTGGCTTATGTTATAGCCTCCGAGCTCCACCCGTTCCTCGCTCGGGAACTAACGTTCAAAGATGGTTAGATGTTGCCCGCCGACAGCCGTTATCTCTAACCATCGGAGGGCACCTACCATATCAAGCAATTACCTTGAGAGATGCTCAAGAGATACTACTTGAATAAGCTTATAGCTATCGCATAGTTCATGAGGCTTAGCCAGTAATGTTTGTCATACCATAATCCACCATGTGCTCTATGCTCTATCAGCTCGATAGTGAGTCAACGTGATAGGTATGACATCGTTCTCGGTTCAATGAACATGCGATATCGCCTTTTAAGGCGCCAGGGTTGATGGGTAGGTACATGCCAATATGGCAATCCTACAAGGGGGAAATCCGGGGTATATATATAACCATAAAGACAGTCAATATGAGCTCTTATTTCCCCCTAATCAGTAGCTTCGCCTGTTCCTGGTGTTGATTTCGACGATGTTTTGGTTATCTCTCGCTGCTCTGGCGAGCCAGGGGGTAATTGCTTCTACCTCTCGCCTACCAGTCAAACTCGAGACGCGTTCCGATCTCAGTTCAGGCCTAGCGAACGTCCATATATCTTTTAATAATCTTATTGATGGTGTTATAACGTACTCTTACGGCCGGTGTGACGACACACGGCATACTGAGGCACACCATACTCTCGGCCAGACCACAAACACTAAGGAGTCACGTTTGGTTTGGGTCTTGCCCAGCGATGCTAGATTCGACGGATGCATCTCAGCATGGGACCAGCAAGGACAACTAGTCGGACGTAGCGAGACCCAGCGACTGAGTAGAAGGAAACTTAGGAGACGCGGCGCTAGTAGTATCGAGATGACGAACGCCACTGGTATCGATGCGTGGGGCCCGTGGTTCAACGGAGTCGAGCTGCTCAAGAACAAGGAGATCTGTGCCGTCGATGTTGCGAAGGCTAAGTCGAAAGACGTAGCTATCATCGGGGCTGGCATGTCGGGATTGATGACGTATCTGGTTCTACACCAAGCTGGCTTTACGAATGTGAAGATTATCGAGGCTAGTCAGCGCCTTGGTGGAAGAGTGCACACAGAATATCTTTCTGGGGGGCCGTTCAATTATTCGTATCAAGAGATGGGCCCTATGCGATTTCCGGAGACAATAGAGTACTCGAATGAGACTTATAATATCGCGGATCATCAAATGGTGAGTTGGCATTAGCTCTCTTATATCTTCCTTTCAAAACCCCCAGTTGCGGTCGGCTAATAAAGCATAGGTGTTCCAACTCGCTAGAGAGATGAATCTCCTCAATAATTACGACAAGAACTTCAGCGTTGATTTCATCCCCTGGATTCAGTCAAATCCCAATGGGTTATATTATCACAATGGGATTAAGCTGGATACGGGACTCCCGCCTACAGTGGCCCAGATCAATGAAAACACATCTTTAGCAGTCTCGTATCCAATGAATCCGTCGACGGAGAAGTTGTCTGATAAAATCAGTGCTATTACTTCGAATGAGACTTTCATGATTGAGGTAGCTACTAATACGTTTAAGGCTCATAAAGACTTTTTAAGTAAGTACTTGATGCTCTTATAATTATTTAATTATTGATGATGATTGTTAACTTATCTTGCATAGTTAATGGTCTTGGTGGACTTGGTGGTGATACTTGGTAAGTGGTCAAGTTGCTTCTCCCCGTAGAGTCTATCTATACCTCCTAAGCTCATTCTATCGCGCCGAACTCCTTTCCATGGTCACTAGGATAAAGAGACAACAAGTTACCAATTACTAAACATGAATAGGTCCGAATTAGCTTACATGGTAAACTACCTCAACGCGAGTTTAAACGACACCGACGTGCTCGGAGGTGGTGCAACCTCATTTTGGGACACGGTAAGTTGAATAAATCATTCATGAGATTGGACCATACTAACTTATCCGCATAGATTTATGAAGGTGGATATTTTGCAGCCACTACTTGGAAGACTATAGACGGAGGTATGCATCTCCTTTCCTATCCAAAACCAATAGTTTACTCATATCAATTATCAGGTTTAAGTCGACTCCCATCATCCTTCCACCCACTCGTCGACAATGTAACCACTATGAACCGAAAGATTGAGCGAGCCCAATGGTCAGAAGACACGCAAAAGATCAACTTGCAATGGAGAAACAACTACACGGACACAGTCTTCCAGAACGCCTCGTACGACTACGCCGTGTTCGCACTCCCCTTCTCCATAGTCAAAAAGATGCGACTCCCCTGTAAGCCTACTCCCCCCCCCCCTATTATCTACAACACTAACACCCCCCAGATCTCCCCACAACAATCTCCAACGCAATCGAAAATATGCCTTTTACAGCTGCCTGCAAAGTAGCACTAGAATACAAAACACGCTTCTGGGAGCACTACCCTCAACCCATCTTTGGCGGCTGCTCCACATCAACAGACATTCCCGGCGTAGGATCGACCTGCTACCCGTCCTACTGCCTAAACTGCACCGGCCCCGCGACAATCCTAGCGTCCTACATCTCGGGCGACTGGGGCGCGCGTTGGGTCTCGGTCCCTGAGAAAGAGCATGTACAGTATATGGTCGATGCGATGGCGGAGATCCATGGCCAGGTCGCGTACGACGAGTATACTGGCAAGTATAATCGTCGCTGCTGGATGATGGATCAGTATGAGGGGGGGAGCTGGGCGAGTCCGACGGTGGGCCAGCATCAGTTGTATTTGCCCGAGTATTTTAAGACGTATAGTAATGTGCGTATCCCTTATTGCCTCCTTACCCCTTTCTTCACTCCAATTTTCAACCCTGATCATACTAACACACTCTTTGCCTACAGATGATATTCGTCGGCGAGCAGACATCATACACGCACGCGTGGATAGCGTCCGCGCTTGAGTCGGGGATCCGCGGCGGCGTGCAGTTGCTTCTCGGTAAGTGCAATTGCTTTTTTTCCTATTACTTATCTCTCCTCCCCCCCCTAATTCATTCATGAATCCGCTAACATGAATCCGTATAGAGCTCGGTCTGGTCGACGAGGCCAAGGCGACCGTTGAAAAGTGGATGGCTAGGTGGATCGATGTTGTGAGTAATCCTAATCCCCCTATCCCCGATTATCTTGCCATGAAGTACCTAACCTAGACGCTAATAGTGAATGTTACTAGTGAAAATGTGATTTTAGATGGCGGTATTATATGAGTAATGTCCCGGGGAAGAGTTTGGTGTCTTCTCCAAATATATTACATATGGTGGTAGAATCGCTATCATCGTATATATGTATCTACGCAAGGAGAAGTTAGTAATTGTCAGATTAGTCAGCCATGTCAGGTGACCTGAAAATCCCTAGTCTCATGTAAAATAGCGGTGTAACACGCGTTCCCACGATTTTACCTCAATCAATCAGATCATCAGGAATATCATCAATTAGACCTCATATATCGCATATTCAGTACGTATTGGTTGTGTGACAGTAATAAATAAAATACTGATAACTTAGCTCGTGATATCCTCCAAAACCACATATCCCCTTATGAATGCTTTTCCTTGTTCGAAGAATAGTTAGGTTTAGTATCTATCACATTATACCCCATATTTTTATATGTCTTAATGTAAAGCGAGAAGAAAAGTATCAGATTCAAAAATGCTCACTATTACTCCAGGTAACATATCCGTATCGGGCATTGGTACCCCCGTATCCTCCATCCAAAGCCCCTAACCTAGGTAGATATCTAGTCCTCCATCATACCCTATGTTACGCCAATACTTTTACATCCACCTGTAATTCGTCCTATCGTAATAGCCATTATAAAATACCTTAAACCAGAGTGAATTCCTGAAATTCTCGTCCGTCCAACGCCTCCCCTTGCATAAACCCATGGAGATACGTCCCGCCAACAAGGTTGTAGGTCGCCGCCTGCGGCCCTTTTCGAAGGAGCAGTGGTACCCTCGAGCCCTGAACTATCCACACTAGGTCCCCCTCTTTGCAAGACGAAGTTCCGCAACCTAAGCTTCCACGAGCCGTCCTAAACAAGCGCAGATTCAAGGAATGGGTGAAAGAGGTCTCGTACTGGGCAGCTCTTTGCTTACCAGTGTCGGATGGCTCGTAATCGGAGAGCTTCATCCAGATGTCGAAGGCGTTTTCCCATGGCTGCTTGATCGGCACCGTTCTAGACGGATCTGTATCGATGAGGAGGGTCCGCCAAAAGGCATCTTTATAGTCGGTAGTGGGATACTCCCGTTGAAGCTCGTCGCGCATATCCAGCCAGTTTTTACAGTCCTTAGTATTATTAACCTCCTTTTTAGTCTCTCCTATTCGAGTAATCGTATCCAGTTCGAACCCGCGTAATACTAGCTTATTTTCGTCCTGGATCTTCTTGAAGCATGGTAGTGTACCGGCGGCATTGTATCTGGTATATCCAGTAATTCTAAGACCAAGATCTTCTCTCACGCTCCAATCTGGTACCCATGTAGGTAGTCCTTTAATTTTTTGAAAGTCTTCGCCCTCGGCGTGTGCAAGGACGTGTAGATCCTTCGAGATTTCAAGAATGTACTTGGCAACATTAGTATATAGCTTCGTGACACTTTCATTGTAATTTGGATACAATTCGGGGTGGTCAGGACTTCGACAATTGGCAAGGCCAAGAAAAGAATATACTTTATCGTGGTTCTTCTCAGCGTCATAAGTGCGGCATCTAACCAGAGTGTGAAGCAGAATGTTGTCAGATCCAATATCAATGTCCCTCTTAACCGCATTCAATTTCGTAGGGTTTTTGTACGAAAGATATTCTTTGAATGTGTTCGCAGATATTCTTTTTGATAGAAAATCCGAGACATGAACCATCTTCTCCCAATCGAAGATAAAATCGCCGCATAGTATAGTTGTTCCGCGAGCCAAGATGAGCTCTTGGACCACCCACGCTCGTGTGAACCATCTTCTCCCAAATAGCAAAGCGAGTGCTTCCCAGTGTTCCGGGGAGTTTGAGCATCCCAATAAGACATTGTTATGCGAATTGTCGGATGCTTGAGGAATGATAGTGAGCATGTCATCATCCTTTAGTTGACTCAAATGCTCTATCAACTCTGAGGCTTTTTGTGTAAGCTTATCAGCAGCGCCCAGCCACACAACCACACAATCTGCCAATTTATATATGTCTGCCATGATGCTGACTTGCTCATTGCGCTCGTCATCGTTGCCTTGATTGATGCATATTGCATCGACCCAGAGGTCCCGGCCATAGTGGCGGCCGTTCTTCTCAAGCTGTGTCAGGCAATTAAAAAGGTTTTCTGCCACTAAGAGTCGTTTGTCGTTACAAACTATAGTGTTACTCGTTTCATCCTTTCTCTTTTTTGTCTCTTCTTGGGTCGTAAGTTCCCAGGTGTATGAAATGGCATCGTATTTTGGTGTTATGGCGGCATCTAAGTCGACAGATCGGATGCGACACGTAAGTAACCCATTCACTCTTTCTGGGAGTATCCTGAGCAGTCGGACGGGTTTAGTGGCTCCAATAATGGTTGGGTCGGGTTCTCCAACGTTCGCCTTAGGGCTACGGTGCGGAATATGAAGCGGAACAGTGAAATATGAAAACTGTTCTAATGAGGTATTCTCAAATTTGGTGTCGGGACGTGTATGTCCCAAATCTTTCTTTCTGTTAGTAAGCCGTTTCCATCTCTTTCCTACCGTCAAACAGTTACTGAGACACCACATGTCAGTAATTGATGAATCCCATTGTTCTCAAGAAGATGACGTGCATTCTAGATGTTTTTGTTGTTTGGAGAATGATTGACTCGAGGCAAATAAAGCAGTATTCCTTTGGAGGCCACGGTCATTGGGTGACTTCAGCTGTTTATTGTGGTGGCGCAGTGCAAGGCTACACCCGTGTCCTACGGGCGAGCGCTTATATATATATATATTTGTGTGTAGTTGTGATATTCACCAAGTACTTACCATATTGAATTTCGGAATCAGGTATTCTTAGAAAACTACACGACATATTTGTTAGTTAATGCGACTTGGAATTGAGACCGAAGGACCACTTAACTATTTATTCTCCCTTCTCCTGAGACCCAATGGTAGACTCTCTCCTTTCTGTATCCAGCATCACCTCTTCTCAATTCAAATTATTGTTAACTGAACTCGTAACCGACAACATAATATAAAAACCATCATGGCGATGAATGGCACATCGTTCCAGGTTGTTCCCGGATTCTTCCGCCACTGCGAGGAGCCCACCGGGCCACAATTCCGAGCGGTGGGCTAAAGCATCTAATATCTATAAAAGCTAATAACGAGCTAACAATAATATAGATAACGCTACCAAACATGGGCTTGATTGATCGCGCCTATGAGACTGACGCAGCCTTCGGCCCAGAAGGTAAGAAGACACAATGGGAACGATTCGTCCGCTTCCTAGAGCACAAGAACAAGCAAGGACAGGGCCGAGTCCAGTATAAGTTGGTTTTCCTTATCAGACACGGTCAAGGATACCATAATCTTAAGGAGACCGAAGTAGGGCGACATGAGTGGGAGGTAAGGATGGCCCCTTTCTAATAGTTGTAGCTCTCAGCCATGCTAACTTTGCACATAGTCGTATTGGTCGCATCTGGACGGTGATGGCTGTACTGTTTGGGCTGACTCTCAGCTAGCAGAAAAGGGGAAGCAGCAGGCACAAGCACTGAATGACTTCTGGCGGAATGCGATTGCAACAGGAATGCCCGCACCACAGAAGTACTATACGAGTCCCCTTGCTCGTTGTCTCGCGACGACTAGCATCACATACTCGGGCCTCAACGTACCGGCCGATCGACCTTTTAAGCCAATTATCAAGGAGAATATGCGAGAGCGTTTCGGAAAGCACACCTGTGATCGTCGCAGCACGAAAAGCTGGATTGCGGACAACTACCCCGGTTTCCAAATTGAGTCATCCCTGAGCGAAGCCGATGAATTATGGCAGCCAGACCGTCGGGAAACCGAGGAAGAGATTGCCGACCGAGTGAGAACCCTCCTACGTGACATCTTCAGCAGAGATGATAAATCCATCCTCTCATTCACGGCGCACTCGGGATTTCTAAGGGCTCTGTATGGTGTTATTGGCCATCCTGATGTTTGGATATCAGCAGGCGCTACAGTGCCTGTTTTGATTAGAGTATCGTAGGCGAGTGGAGAGATATCGTAGTTTGTGTTGGGGTGAGAATTATGAATCATAGCTCATATGACTTATACAACTCCAACACGGACAGAATAGGGGAGAGCAGGTCCTCGCCTAAGTTTCTTAGGTACCTTAAGGTAATTACATAATTGTACAACAATATAGCACTTGCCAATTTAATGATGACTCTTAATTTATGTTAAAATTATATCGAATACCTGGAGAGGGAAAGAGCTAGGTTAGTATAGTAGTACTTGTTAATAATTGTGGTAGTAGCTCACCCGTAACTGCCATATGGTCAATTGTTAATTTCCTGCAGTCACAAACTCAACTTTACAGTTGATACGACGTTGAATTCATAGCCATTGGAAGTCTCTTACAACTACATGTTTGAAAGTTGTAGACTCATCCTATCAAGTTTAAACTGGGAAGCCTTATGCCCCTAGTTCTCGTAACTCAGCATACACTCTTCACATGCAATCGTCGTCCAGAACGGAAAACTTGATTTTTATTTTTTATACTAACAATTTATTTCATTTAATTCTCGTTGTTTCTCATCTAGTTCATGTATTTGAAATCCCGCGCCGTCATAATGTTTGCCCGCCTACACCCAGACGCGATCCCAACCCCTCTAAAGACCTATTCTTCCGCGCCCCTGAAATCTTTCAAGCGTCGTCTATTCCTGGACGACGACGACGAAGATGATGTGCGCCCACCCTCTCCCAAGAAACATAGAAAGACGCATTATTCTGTTGCCCCGCTTTTCGACAAATACAGGAGGCCAAGAGTGGACGAAGAGAACCAGATTCCAAGTCACGTTCATAACCGACGGCAACGTCTTAGCCCTTCTCCCGACCCCGATCCACCACTAGTATCAGAGCTTGGTGGTAAGCCAAATATTCCTGTATTGTATTCCCCACTAACTCCCACCCCAGAGCGCTACGCCAACCTCCGCGCAACAGTCCACAGCGCCGTCATAACCGCCTTTGAAGAAGCCGAAGCAGAACTAGTCGCACAAAGCGAGGCCAATATCCGCGCCAACCGGCAGAAAATGGCCGCTCTCGAGGCCCAAATAAAAAAACTCATCTCGTCTCTCAAGGACCTAACAATCGACTACACAGCCACCGGCGAAGACGGTCATGAGCGTACCGCCGCAGTGGCAATCCGCGACGCTATATCCATCTTCGAGGTCAAACTCGAAGCCGCCGTCGCCGAGCTCGATGGCCTCTGGGTATCCTAGGTGGAAGCTCAGGCCGAGATCGAGGACCTTGGCGAAGGGATGCTATCACGGAAGGGATCAGACGGCGCCGGAGATGAGACACGTCTGAGCGGGGCCAGCGTAGTAAGCGGAATATCACCCTCGGCCTCGGCCTCCCACGTCGAAGCTCTAGCTAGATTCGGCACGGATCTAGATAGAGCGAGCAAGGATGTCGTAGAGGAGATGACGACGTACGAGGAAGTAAGTCCCACGGGTCCAATATCCCGCAAGTCGTAGACGGGTGCGATGTACTGATTGAGTTCTAGAAATTTCTGAAGGAGATTGAGAAGGAGGCCGGGAACATTCTGCATTCGTTCCTGAACCGCTGAGGCTGCTGGTCGGGATATGTCATTACTCTTACTCGTTACCACAGGTCGGGTGAAGCGTGCTCGGCACGCGCGGTGAGCGTTGACGCTGTGGCGGAGGACTCGCTTGAGGGCTCGTATGGTGCGTCTTGCTGTTAGAGGACGCATTGTGACTTTTCGGTGGCATTAAAGGACTATGATAGAGCTATGTAGGTGGTTATTATGACAGATGTATGAACTCATTAGAGCGTATCGGGACCACGATGTATAAGAGTTCACCAAGTATGTAGATCGTTGCTCAAAATGCATGCCTGCTCGATCGCTTCTCATATATACTAGTCAAATCCAACATTCCTCACAGCACAGCGTTTTTCGAAATAGAAATATGTATTGAGATTCGCTATCAACACAACATGCTTTTATCCCAGCTCTTTTTACACCCAATTAGTGTAATCTACCTCTGACCCTGTCCTATCCCAAGCCAGCTACACCATACGATTCGCTGTGCCATCCCCGCGCTGCGTCCGAAGCGAACGCGAATGATTTAAAAGCAAAGCAGCTAAACGAATTTGCCATGCACCGGACCTTATAATGCGATACCCCGTACGACGACAGGAAACTCTAGTCCAACGCGAAGTAACCGTGTCGAAGAAAAAATAAAACACCAAATAGAAAAAGGAGATATCTAGTAAACGCGGAATATGCCGTCGTGCGTCGTGGTCCCGTAGCATGGTAACTAGCCTGTCTAGCGAGATAGATGAAGAAAACGAAGCGAAAAAGGCGAGGCGCAACGCTAGCTATGCATCCGTCCCTCTTCTATATAAAATGCCCCCCGATGGTCATGTATGTTCCAGCAATGAGATTTTCGAGAACCGATCGTGTCGTCATGGATCATGGTACAGCATTGCCAGCATGGATTTGTGTAATTAAGATGCCTCGCAGGGAGGATAATAGGAGATATCAGGGTTCCCCACATCCGCTCCGCCCGTCTGTTCGCAGCTATGATTGTCGTCGCCCTCTATTCTCGGCCAATAGACATTATGCGGGCAGGAATATTCGTCGGCTGTGAAAGTCTGGGGTCCCGAGGCGTGAGATGCAGCTACACCTGCACGTCGGAGAAATTAGGCGATCTAGTGTTCCTCCTGTACGACGACACCCCATGGGTGGTCTACGTTTCCGTACATGATATCCTTAAGCCAACCCTTAAGCTTGAGCGTGCATAGGCCACCTTCGCCCGCCTTGCCCATGGGGATCTGGATGTTTTGTCCGCGGTGATGGATGAGCGAAATAGGGCAGACGAAGAACTGTGATTAAATATTAGCATACGATGCCTCCTTTTCATGCAATACTTCCGGATATGTTGTGAGGAACCTACCGCTGTACCAGCAGCAAAAGATTCGAGCAGTCTTCCTTCCGTGCTAGCCTCCAATACCTCCTTAATAGTATACCTTCTCTCTACAATTTCTATCTCATCGCCTAATTTCTCACGAGCAAGCTGCAGCACGCTGCGCCTAGTAACACCATCTAAGATCAGTCTGTCATCCAGCGGCGCTGTGATAAGCTGAGTCTTTCCTTCCTGAGTTTTCCACAAGACGAAGAAGTTGCTCGCTCCAGCTTCCGTGCAGTAGCCTTCGCTACCGTACAGCCATAGGATTTGACCGAATCCTCTCGCGCGAGCTTCTTGCGTCGCTAGAAGAGAAGGACCGTAGTTCGCACCAACTTTGGCGTATCCAAATCCGCCAACCCAAGCACGCACCATATCGTTCGGCGACGTGTGGAGCTTCAGACCGCCTACTGGCGAGTCCATGACTGGCATATAGCTGGCAATTATGTAGAGAAGGGCCTCTGACGGAGCCTGTACACCAAGTTGTGACTGGGTCCCGATGAGTGTCGGACGCAGGTAGATAAAACTTCCAGGACGGTCACGAGGCAGCCATTTGGGACCATCCACAGCCATTAGCGCCAAGAGCAGCTTCTCTACTTCGGCAGGAGAGAAAGGCGGTAAGCTGATGCGTACCGAGGACATGAGAAATCGCTTGGCATTGCAGTCGGGTCGGAACAGACGCAGCTTGCCGTCAAAGCCACGGTACGCCTTGAGACCTTCAAAGCACTCCGTGGCGTAGTGAAGGACGGACGCTGTGGGCATAAGAGATAGTGGTCCATAAGGTTTTAGCTCCGGTGTTCCCCAGCCGGACTTAGCTGACCATGCTACGGTGACCATGTGGTCTGTACAAATGGTTGAGTCGTTGACAGAGTTGATACCCGGAGCAGGAACATCCCGAGGCTCCTTGGTAAATGTGTAAGTGATGTTTGAAGCATTTAGTTCTTGAACATTTGGTTTAGATACGCCGTTGCCGTGTCCGTTCGACGAGGAAGCGGTTTGATCATTAACGCGGTGGTTGACGGCGGAAGCAGTCAGGTTTATGTCTTGCTCGCCATCGTGGGCGGTCGACGTAACGACGGCGGAGGGAGCCATGCCTATAAGCTATGCGCCGGTTATGAGTTAGGTATGATATGAACTAGAATTAGAGATGTAGTATAGGAAGCAACGTTAACGTATAATGGGTATTGTCCTTGTAGGTAAATATTTTTGTGAAGAGAGAGAGAAAGATGATGATGATGGGGAGTAGATAGGAGGAAAGTATAAATAATATAGACAAGCTTTTAGACCGCGTCGACCTGCACAACTTACACTACTTACACTACTAGGTAGGTTAGAAGGGTCGATGACTCAATAGCCAATGGGGATATTACCTTTTCTGCTTTCTTACATTCTGCATCATGTCAAGCTTGTACGTATGTAAGTGTGGTTCGGCGACATACTGCATGAAAAGGGCGTGGTCCTTGTCATTGTGCTCCTTGGATCCGGACCCAGACTTAGCCAGATAGCCCCAATTGGATAAAGAAGCAGCAAAATTCTGCATTTTCCCCATCGAACTAATTGGACCGATCAGACCGATCAGACCGATCAGACCGATACACTAGAGCTAAATAGATACCTAGGCCTACAGTAGGTATTCTAAGTATGTATTTCTAGATACTACCTACCCACAGGGGGAGACGAGGTAGGCTTGGTTTCCACCAGCTTGGAACCAATGCAATGTGGACGGGGCCCATGGACGGCCCCGGGTATCTAATGATCTCCATGCCGCAACGTCAGGTGGGCGTACTCACGAGTGACACTACAATGAACAACGAAGCAACACCCACCGACAACCCACACAGCTGCCACCCCATTCTAGGAGCAGCCGCCGGAACTAGTAGTATACTCGTTGCAATGTGGGTCGAATCTGCAAATTCGAAGAGAAGGTTCGGTTGCACACGGAGGCTGAAAATCATGTGGGAAGTGGAGCGCAGAATGACGCCGTTGATTTGTCGCGAACAAGCGTATAGATGCTTGTAGATGGCAAACGGGCTACCAAACGGCTCAAGCGACATTACCGATATCGAAATGTCGGCCAACGAGCTCGATATTCATGGATCAGCTTCCGTTCCTCGGACACTACCTATAAACTATTCGTACGAAATTCATAAAACGACTTGTGAGTCAAGACGACAAGGGGAAAATAAAGGATCCGAAATCGCAAGGAAGGGCGAGTGGCATTTTATACGGGAAGTTGTCCACTAATTAAATGCCATGGACAAGCATCTCAACCCCGGGCTGGTTAGTATTGAAGCAGGAGCTAATTGTTGCACATCAAAAACTAAACGGCAATAAAAAGTGAAGATTGAAAGACGGAGTTGAAGGTTTAGCGTGGAATTTGTCCGCTCTTCGGCCTGCGGAATGGTTGAACAAAAAGCTTAGCGGCTTCGGGGAAGCCGCGAATTGCCGTCCATTGCCTTATCTGACCGCCACCTACGCGGTCTTACATAGTGGGGGCCCTTGGCATATTCATAAATTACTACCTCATCTTATCATTGGACCGATGGAATATTTCCGTCTTACCTATTGCGTATATCGAATAATACATAATATATAATACGTCGACTAGGTATGCCAAGTTATCTTAGACATATATACGCACATACATACATATATGTGCGCATACATTAATGGCCACCGACATAATGGACGTGTTTATCCCATGAGTAATTCTGAAGGGGCACCTAAGCCATAAATCCCTATCTGGACGAGCACATGACTGAGGCCTTTGAACAGTTCATACCTTACGTATGTAGTCTCTCTATACCGAGCTTTCCACAACATTTCATGATCCGTCGTCATCAAGCAGCTCCGCCGTGCTACTCTATCTCGGCCTTACGGGCTTGACAAACATTCCCGAGCCCAGAGTCGATACTCCACATACCAGAGATGACTCTCTAAGGTTCATAGTCTTCGAAGTCGGTAACTAGAAATAACTACGAGATATCGAAGGCAAGAAGCCGGTCTTTAAATAGCCGAGTCTACGGCGGGTCCGAAAAGAACCTGACTAGCACTCCCGGCTTCTACCGATATCCACTAGTCACGAGGTCAACGGCTCGAACTGAGTCTAGATGCTTCTTTAAAAATCGACACGGGTTTTATTATTGGGATTAAAAAAAATTCCCTCCGGTCGCTAATCGTTCCAATAATACTCGACTCTTTCAAAACTTGTAATTATATATTGGTTACCATAAATATTGAAGTACGGCGCAAGCAACGTCAACTACATAGCATTCTGTTTCCTTCCTTGCATA